GCAGGAAGGAAAATGAGTTCTGAGCAAAGGGGGAAAAGCCCCTTATAAAACCATCAGATATCATGGGAACTCTCTATCACAAGATAAGGAGCATGAAGGTAACTGCCCCCATGATTCAATTACCTCCCACTGGATCCCTCCCATGACATGTGGGGATTATGGGAACTACAATTCAAGATGAGATTTAGGAAAGGACACAGCCAAACCATATCAATAATGAAAATGGCTACAAATTTTCTTATTGGTAATCCAAAAATGATGACTGGACCTTACAATCACTACTGCCTTGGATTCAATAAGTGTAATTTACTCATTCCATGAATATTGTTTAAGTATTTACTGCATATGTAAGTCACTGTGCCAGGTTTTGGGGACACAATGATGAACTAGAGAATTGAAGCTTATGCTGTAGTTCAGAGGGATGAGCAATAAACAAATGGAAACTGATAGTTTAGTGGGTACTTTTACTTTAGAAAAGGGCTTTGTAAGGTGGTAACATTTGACGTAAGATCTGAATGATGAGAAAGTGCCTAAAGATTTGGGCTAGAACATTCCAGGAAGAGACAACAGTAAATTCATGGGCCTTGAAGGAGGAACAAACTTACAATATTGGAAGAACCAGTTAACCAGGGGTTAGAGAATCTGGTGGGGACTATATCATTCAGGGCCTTGAAGAGCACAGTAAAAGAGTTTGGATTTACGTTAAATACAATTGGATTTCATTGGGATTGAGTTTTAGTTAAATTATAAATATTCTGTTGCTCTACCCTTCCCTCTATTAACTGACTCCCAGAGCTACAATGTTAGATGGTTACTTTTGGTGCAGCAGTTTAGCATGTCCACATAATTATCCCAGTAAGTGCAATGTTAACATTTTAAAGGGAAGCATTATACAAAGCTTTTTGCATTCTTATTTAAATTCTAACATCTGATTACATTAGTGGTATTATTATATTATTCTTATTTATATAATGCACTTTAACTGTTTAGAGGCTGGTTAAAGAATAAGTTTTGGGTCATAGGCCTATAGAACCAGATCTTAATTATTTACATTACTTCTTATGGAAATAATTCTTCTTTATGAATGTTTTTGCTCTAGAAGTATTATTTCTGCTCTGAAACCTTGGATGTGGACCCCTTTACCATCCACTATTATCATAATTTTATCTTATTTATTTAATTAAATATTTTTTAAGACCGTGTCTCACTCTGTTGCCCAGGCTGAAGTGCAATAGCATGATTATGGCTCACTGCAGCCATGACCTCCCAGGCTTAAGCAATCTTCCCATCTCAGCCTCCTGAATAGCTGGGACCACACACGCATCACCACGCGTGGCTAATTTTTAATTTTTTTGTAAAGACGGGGGTTCGCCACATTGCCCAGGCTGGTCTAGAACTCCTGAGCTCAAGTGATCCTCCCACCTTAGCTTCTAAAGTCTGGGATTACAGTTGTGAGCCACCGTGCCCAGCCTATCATAATTTTAAAAAAGAAGATCCTCTTTAGTTTTTCTAAACAGGGAGGACATGTCAGAATAAAAACAACTCTTAAAACCTGGAATAAATTTAGCCTTATTTAATTTTTTAAAACAGCTCTACATTGACTGCATTTTTCTCATTTGACAGAGAAATGACAAAAATCTCACCCACCACTGCTCAAGAAAACCTTGCAAACTGTAAGAAATGTTTACTTTTGATTCTAAAGTAGACTTCAGAGATAATGTGCTTATTTATTATTGTAGAGGGAAAAAAAGCACACAACCGTTATCAATTTCATTGTGTAAGTCTTTCAGAGTAGAAAACTAAGTATGATGAATAACTAAAAATAATTTCTGAAATTTTTTTTCTGATGGTTCCTTAACAGACTATCTTCCCAAAATCCATGTCACCCTGTTGCATAGGAGATGGTTTTCCAGTGATTTAACAAGTTTCTGATTTAATTAAAAAAAAATAAAAAGATAACCACAATTTTTCAGTTTTTGATTTGACTTCAAAATTCATCTGAAAAAAAATCATTATGTAGTGATCTAACAATGAAACCTACCTCTATTTATGGGTTTTACTTGTAGAAAGAGTAAATCATTTTCACTTGTGATTTACATCAAATTGCTCCACCTGTTACTTTCTTTAATGCATTAGAAGCTAAAGTGTATATTTCTGGGTTTATACAGATTTGCATTTTGTGTTAAATGTAAATCGATATTAATTTTGGAACAAGGAGGAATTTAAAGGAATTTAAAGGCAATTGTGATATATTCAGAATGACGATGATGAAATGATCATATAATTAAAGAAGGTTTTCAGAAGTTATGTGTAATGGTAGAAATCAAGGCTTTATCCTTTCTTATTAACAGTAATTGTATTGATAGAATTTAGTGAGACTTTTTTTTTACATTTTCTATTGCTGTGATATTTGAGAATGTATGCTAAAAGTAGAATTACCTAATTGCCTAATTAGTTTCACATGACCTCATATCTAGTGCAAGAGCCTGGTACAGTTTCTCTATAACATTTGATTAGAATACACAGACCAGCTGTATTGCAGGAAGGGGAGATCTTGATTTAAGAACTGAGTGAAGTAAATAAAAACAGCTAGTTTGAAATATTTACATTATGGGCCAGGCGTAGTGGCTCATGCCTGTAATCCCAGCACTCTGGGAGGCCGAGGTGGGCGGATCACCTGAGGCAGAGAGTTGTAGACCAGCCTGACCAACATGGAGAAACTCCATCTCTACTAAAAATGCAAAATTAGGTCTGGTACGGTGGCTCACGCCTGTAATCCCAGCACTTTGGGAGGCCAAGGCGAGTGGATCACGAGATCTGGAGCTCAAGACTAGCCTGACCAACATGGTGAAACTGCGTCTCTACTAAAAATACAAAAATTAGCTGGGTGTAGTGGTGTGCGCCTGTAATCCCAGCTACTCAGGAGTCTGAGGCAGGAGAATTGCTTGAACCCAGGAGGCGGAGGGTGCAGTGAGCCAAGATCATGCCATCACACTCCAGCCTAGGCAACAAGAGTGAAACTCCATCTGAAAAAAAAAAAAAGTTTACATTCTGTACTTTCCCAGAAATACATTCCAATCTCTAACAATTTATCATACTGTTGTCCAGTGCTATTTATTCAACAAACTTTTGAGAGTTGTCGAGACAAGGCACTGTCAGCAACCAGGGATGCAAAGATGAATGTCATAAGCTCTGTGCTAGAGTATTACTACCTAGTAAAAACTAATAATTACAATAGAGTGAGCTATGAAAGCATTGAAAATGAAGCAAATATTTGTGCTTAGGAAAGCGTGGGAAGGCATCAGAGAGAGCAAAGGGGCACTTTTGAGGTGTTATACTTGGGACCGGACACCAGCAACAAAGGTGGAGAGAAATTTTTAAACAGAAATGGGACACGGCCTCCTCTTAGAATTCAAGAGGTTTGAATTGAAGGTTATCTTTCCTTCATTGCACTTATTCCAGTGTGTACATTTGGATTTATTTTTGTGATCATTAATGATGCTAGACTAAAAGTTCCTTGAGGACAAGACTATATCCGATTTTCTTTACAACTGTACACTTCCCAGTGATTACACATACAACATGTCAAATAAATGTGTTGTAAGCAAAAAGTGGGTAGGAGAGTACTCAGGAGACTGGCTGCTCATTATTTATCCAATACTGTCAAGTGAGAGAGCCAGTGAATCTGTGAAAATAGAAGCATTGAATCTGGGAAAAGCATTCCTCTCACCAGAGGAGCATGCTGTACTGTCTGACAGGGGATAATCCATTGAACTTCCTGTGGTCATAATTACCCATTTTCCTCCTTCCCTCTTCCCCCATTGGATGAATCATCTCTTTGCTCTTATTTCAACCTTTTAATTACTGATTCACCCTCTTTGATTACCTGACACAACAGGAATATCTTTGGTAACTTGAAAGGTCAGTTGACTGAATTTGTTTCATTTTGTTTAGTGATTATGCAGCCTTGCTCACTCTTGTGCATCTGTTGCAATGTTGTTCGTGGAAAACAAAGGTCTCATTTAGATTTCCAAATTACCTTGCTAAAAAACTGACTCTATACTAATGAAATTCGTCTAATGCAGTAGATGTAAGAAAGAATGCTTGCACTATGAGAAGAAACGAGTGTGAGGCCCTTCCGGATTTTTGCTGCGAAAAGATAAATCATTTTTTATGACTCCTGGATATGCCCTCAGAATTGTTCGCCTTCAAAGTTTACCCCATTATTGTGGGCTAAAACGTATTCAAACGCTCAAAGACTAGAGACGCCTAAAGCTACCCGCCACCCGTAGTGTCCAGGAGGAGTCAGTAAACACCCAGATTGCTTCCCGCAGCACACCCAAGAAGGAATGTAAGGGAATGCAGCCACCATGTTGGTTGTGGTTAAGTGCAGCAAACTGCTTGGCGTCACTCAGCCCTGCTGCGCAAGCGTATTGAGAGTACGCTTCACTCCGCCCCTTCTCGTGCACGAGCTCGGAGCGCGCAACTCTCGCGAGAGAAGCGAGATTTATTCCTACGTACCGGGCCGTGCTGCTTATGGCGGCGCTGGAGAGGGGGCGCTGAGCTGTTGGGGTGAGTACGACCTCAGGGTCCAACTGGGGGTAGCAAAAACCCAGGGGAAGGGCTGAGAATAAGACCAAGGCTAAGGGGAAAGCTTTCTGAGTCAAGGTGGGCACTCGTAGAGCTCTAGGTGGGGAAGAATGCACCCCAATTCCCTGCCCTGAGCTTTTTCATACGTCTCCCGTTCAACTGCCTGGGCCTCACGTCAGGTCGCAGAGCTGAAACCAGGAGTCGAGGCCAGCCGGCTGCGCGTTTTGGTAGTGGTGGTGGTGACTAAAGTGGGGGGAGGGAGCGAAAATGGAGGCTCCGACCGCAGCCAAGATGGAGGCATAGGGTGCGGGGCTCGGGCGCGGAGGCTGCTGGGAGCTGTAGTCTGGCGGCTTCCCCATCTGCCGCTTGGCTGGGGAAATGGGAACTACATGTCCCGGCGGGCGGGGCGAGGGGGTGGTGGCGCGGTCCTTTGTGTGAGGTTGGAAGAGCCTGAGACCGAGAAGAGGGGCCTGCTTTGACTCTGGACCCTATAGTTTGCTGGCCGTTACCTGCTTGGGAATCTGACTACCAGTACTAGAGCGCCGTGCGGCAGTGGCGCCTTCTGTGTGTATAGACTGAGACCCCGCTCCATCTAGATATTTAGGGGTAGTGCTTAAAGACAGCTTTCCCCAGCCACATCTGGTACAGCATCGTGTCGGAATTGACATCGTTACTCCAGTCACCTAGAGCAAGGTCTCAGCACCCAACCTTCCCCGCATTGTCTCCCCTTCGGCTTCTTGGGAAAGGGAACCAGTCCCTAATCTTTTAGGCACGTGGCTCCCACCCCTCTATCTTGAGGAAAGGGCGTGCGCCTTGAAAGCTCAGTAGTGTCCTCCCTTCCACCTCCTCTAGCTCTGATGGTGCCAGCGCCTGGCCCACATTGTGCAATGAACTGCCTGGCTTCGTCATTGTATGTAGAATTTTTTGAAGTTCCCCCGTGGGAGACAGCTTCAAATTTTTACCATGATGTTTTATCAATACGAAATCTTAGTGCCAAGGTTCTTTTGCTTTAAGGTTTTCCTTTAGAAACACCCAGATGGCGGCCGTCTTGTTTAACTCACAGGTGAAGCAGAGAACGCTCCCTGAAACAGGCTTCAATCTGCAAAGAAAATCTGAACGTTGTTAGGCAAGTTAATTTTCGTGTTTTGCACCTTAAATGAGTAAAAGAATGTGGCGCTCTTTAAACAGTTGGGAGGCAGGGCGGAGAGGGAGAATGCTCAAAGGCACTGTGGTAGTTAAATCTTTTTGAGAGGCTTAAATTTTCATCAGGCTGGTATGAGCTGGCAGTTCTCAGCCACTGCTACTAACCTACTTTTTTAAAATGTAGGTTTCAAATTGTAACCCACAAATACAAGCTACACTTTTCTAAAATGCTGAGTAATTTTCATTTTGAGTAAAGGCAAACATTCTTGATACTACATTGAGGGGCACTGTAATACATACCTTGATTTTATTTTGGTATTGATATCCAATAATGTATATCCTTGGTGTGGGTAAGGAGGGGGTTTATATACTTGAATAGGCATATACCTGAGTCATAAAACCTGGATAAATATTCGGCTTTCTTTTTGTTTCGTTTTAGCCCTGGGACTAAAATAAAAGAGAAGCTAATAGTTTGGTTTTGCAGCTGTTCTGGATGTTTACCATCGAGATGAGTATTTATAGCAGCTGAGTTGAAAACTAAAGTATTTGAGGCACAGAAGATAGGTTTTCTTTTTTTGTGAGTAAGTTCTGACTTAAGTATGACCTTTAGCGAGTGTGGGTGAAAATCTGGTGAAGTCCTAGCAAATCAAAATTGAAAGTGTGAAAGCTGATGTGCAGTCCGGCTTTATCCCCTACCCTTGTTTTTCCCTCCCCACCGCGAAGACACATCGTGTAGAGCCATCGATTTTTGTTTTATACAAACAAAATGCTAAAATATCAAATTATGCTGGAGTATATGCATAACATTTAGTGTTCCAATGTTTTTTATTGTAGAGTTCAGTGGCACTAAGTCTGTTGAAACTGTTGTAAGAGCCATACTTTCGACAAGGTAGTTAAAACATGGAAATTTTGGACCGATGTTCTCTTGGACAGATTTTTGAGGAATTGCATTTCAGGACTGTATTGCAAAATGAGATAAATATCTTGATCTTGTTAAACACAAAGAATTGATGTGCTTTCTTCTTAGCTTTGTCTTTGCAGAAAACAGAAGAGGAAGCACTTTGAGATCTATTTTGTAAGCTTTAATAGCTAGACTGTCTTAAGTGGTGAAACTACTATGGGTGAGAGTGACTTGCTGTTAAACCCTTCTGCCCAGTTAGGATTTTAAAAATTCCTTTGTTTTGATATTAGAATGTTTTCCACTTGCATGTGTGGGTACCTAGTTAAAAAGAACACAAAACTTTTAATATTTTAATGTCCTTTTATGCTGAGGTAAAACTGTGTGACTGAAAATTATCAGTTGCCATATGTTGCACATGTAAGCTATCCGTTGATTTGCAGCTACAATCAGTACATAACCAGTTATTTGCATTTCTGTTTCTCCAATTTAGTAACAACAAGCTTCTGTGCTAGATACTGCCTACTTTTTTTTATTAGTGAAAATCTTTGCTCAAGACCCTTACATTTACTTCCTGTTGCTAATTGGCACAATAGTGCTTTTTTAGACCCCTGCTCAGTTTATACCTACTCTGTGGAACATGGTAGCTGCCAGCCACGTGTGGCTGTTGTGCACTTGAAGTGTGGCTAGTTTGAATTGAAATGTGCTGTGATTGTATAATAACATTGGATTTCAAGGACTGTAAAAGTGTCAATTTTTTACATTGATTCTGTAGAGAATAACATTTTGGATATAATTGGTTAAGATATTTAATTAAAATTCCTTCTGTTTCTTTTGACTGTAATATGGTTACTAGAATTAAAATTACACATGTGGTTTGCACTGTATTTCTGTTGGACACTGCTGGTCTGTGTTGTTTTCTGATGTGTCTAGAGTGTTTCTTCAGCATCTTCCCACACTACCATTTGTCCTGCTTAAAAGTATTAGACTTCTGGGTGTATGTATAAGCAGTTAAGTGATAGATAGTTTTAAATATCTCAGTAGCTGTTTAGATAATTAATCCAGCACAGTTGTTACTACTAAACAGATACAAAAAGATAGCTGAGTCGGTTTGAGTTTAGTTTTTACTCAACAGGTGACTTAGGTTGGTTAATTATCTAGACTTTATCATTTACCTTAGATCCTAAAGTGAAAATGAATTAAGACCTATTAAGCACTTCAGTTATAAACTGTGGTGCTCAATGAAATGTCAGGCAATAGAGAAACTTTTCAGTCCTATGCTACCTATTTGGGTCTTTGTTTTTCCCGCCTAAAAGAAGATACTGCCTGAAGGAAGTGGGTTAGGTGAGCAGACTTTTGTAGATTGGCTTAGCCTTTTATTAACTTTTCCCAAAGTCAGTGCTGCCCATACTTTCAAAATAATTTGTCAAAATAATAAACTAGGTAGTGTGATACATTTTAGATGGATTACTTACCACATAAATGTGTTAGTTTAACCTCTTGATTTAGTGCCTACTATGTCATGGCTTATGCTAGGCCTTTGAGGTAAAACAGCCAACTGAGGAAGACATGAAATAAAACAGGTGGTGGCCAGGTGGGGTGACTCGCACCTGTAATCCCAGCACTTTGGGAGTCTGAGGCGGGTGGGTCACTTGAGGTCAGTTTGAGACCAGCCTGGCCAACATGGTGAAACCCTCTCTGCTAAAAATACAAAAATTAGCCAGCCAGGCGTGGTGGTACACGCCTGTAATTCCAGCTACTCGGGAGGCTGAGGCAGGAGAATCGCTTGAACCCGAAAAGTGGAAACTGCAGTGATTAAATAATACTACTATTTCCATGCTGAGCAAAGGGAAAAGGAGTTGATTACTTAGCACTCAGGGAGATTCTCAGATACACATTTAAATTGTTCACTAGTGTTTTTATTGGTACCCTATGGTGGGTTTGTGGGGGTGATTTTTTTGAGTCAGCGTCTTACTGTCGCCCAGGGAAGAGTGCAGTGGCACAATCAGCTCACTGCAGCCTCAAACTCCTGGACTTAAGCGATCCTCTTGCCTCAGCCTCCCGAGTAGCTGGGACTACAGGTGCGTGCCACCACACCCAGTGAATTTATTTTTTGTTTCTAAAATTGTTTCTAGAGACAGCGTCTTACCATGTTGCCCAGGCTGGTCTCAAGCAATCCTCCCACCTCGTCCTGCCACAGTGCTGGGGATTACAAGCGAGAGCCACCGCCGCAGCCCAATACCCAGTGTTCCGTGTGACTTAAGTTTCAAGCTTTTAGGTGGATGGAGGAGATGCACTTAACGTTCCTAGGGTTAAGGCAAAAGAGTTGGTTAGTAGCACCAATTAATGTTAATCTGGACATGAGTGGATAGCCATTTCTATTAAAATGCCTGAGCAATACCTTGAAGTTCTTCAGTAAGTGTTAATTTAATTGAAAAACATTTATTTAACTGCAGAAGTTGTGAAGATGTTAATTCGGCCAGTAAATTATTCATGACTGTTGGTGGGTTCGTTTGAGCTTTAGTAGCTCCTAATAGACCTCATTAGTGCCTAAGAATGGCCCTGCAATACTCCAGAGTTTCGGTTCCAGAAATCTCTTTTTGTGTTACTGTATCTTGGAATTGACAGTTCTTAATGTAATACAACAACCTAGACTGGATTAATCCAGTTCAAGTTTTTCAAGATAACTTGCTTTCTCCGTCTTGAGTTCTTTGGGTTCATTAATAGACCTAAAGTATTAAGATAAAACCAATATACACAGTCCGTATTTTTTAAAGAAGAGGTTTTTTCTTGATTGGATAATTAAAACTTCATACAATTAAAGGTGGTATAACTGTTTACACTTGAATTGTAGTGTCCTTTTGCTTATTAAGGATTAACTACCTTTTTCCTTTGGTTGTTTATGGCAGCACTGTATTAGGTGCTAAAGGAGGCTGTGATAAAGAAATTTGAGTTTACCTCTCAGAAATTTGAAATAGAATTGGAGGAACAAGATACATAAAAACATGAAGTAAACAAAGTACAGAAATTGCTTGTTACCACTTGCCGCAAATTGCTTGATGCAGGCAGTGGATGTTACTGCCCCATTCTTTAGTAGGAATTAATGAGTCTGCTAGAATGGTCAAGAAAGGCTTTTTGTCACCTTGAAGATCACAACAGTATTTTTTTGTGGGAAGACCCATATAAACAAAGGTGGCTAGAATTCAGGAATTTCCCAAGAGTTGTGTTTAAGGATTAGGCAAGGTAATGGACTTCTGGGAGAACTGGAACACAGTAGAGAGTATGAATGGGAGGTAGAATGGAGACACCTGGAATAGTAGTTCTTAATTTTGGTTGGAAGTCAGAAACACTTGGGGCAGATTTGTGGCTGGGGGGTGGGGGGAGATAACAATGCCTGGCACCTAACCTAGTGTAGTTAAATTTAGAATCTTTGTATGGGACTCAGGCTTTGATTTTGTTTATTTTTGTTTGTTTGTTTAAGGTTGCTGGGGGCGGTGGATAGCCAGGATTAAAAACTTCCCATCTAGAGTGGTGGAAAAATAACTGAAGATGTTTGATAGGGGAGATGAGGAGTGAAATTGGAGGGTTTTTGTTTTGTTTTTTGAGACAAGGTTCTGATCTGTTGCCCAGGCTGGAGTGCTGTGTCGCTGTCCTGGTCTCTGCAGCCTTGACTTCCCAGTCCTCAGTAGCTGAGACTCCAGGCGTATACCACCATGCCTGGCTAATTTTTTGTATATTTAGTAGAGATGGGGTTTCTCCACGTTGCTCGGGCTGGTCTTGAGCTCCTGGGCTCAATCAATCCTCCTGCCAAGGCCTCCCAAAGTGCTGGGATTACAGGCGTGAGCCAGCTCACCTGGCCAAAATTCAAGTTTTTTGATAGTCTGGTGGTGGTATGTGACAGAAAATGGAAAGTGTGTACACTGGAATTTGGCGGATATATTAGACACCTGAGCTAAAATACGTCATTTAGTAGGACAAGAGATGGATACAAACGATATGGTGAGGGAAATACTAACACAACTTGCAACATTGGGTATGGCGATGGAGAGGGGAAGAATCAAGATAGTTAAAGTGGCCCTACCTCAGACCAGTTATATTCCTCTGATTGGGGGCTGGGCATAGGGTTTTGTTTTTTTTTTTTTTTAAAGCTTCCCAAGTATTTGAGCACCATTACCCTCAGACATATATCTAGTCTGGGTAATAGAATGATATAAAGTTGAAAGATCAGACAAGTGTATGTAACATTTGATGTTTGAAGGAACAATATAAAGTCATGGGATGTTAGATAATAGAAAATGGCCAGATCAGCTATTATTGAGTTTTTATTTTGCATGTGAGGAAAGTGAAACCTAGAGATATTAAATAACTTGTTCATGGTATTTACTAGTACCAGTGATTGAGATTACGCTCTTCTGGTCTGAGCTGTTTCATCAGCTCTGATCTCTCACCTGATAATCATTCTTCTGATGTTTTCAAATATATTATCCATTTCTCAGCATGTCCACCTTTTTCTTCTCCCTGTAGAAATAATTTTCGTTAACGCCATTTGGTTAACTTTGGATTCAGTGCAAAATAGTTGTTTATTTTATAGCTAATATAAAGCAGAAATGTAATTTTTACTGACAAATACGTTTTATTTCTCTTCTGTAGACATTTCTCATCTATTTACTGCAGCAGTGCAAATGAGATTTCTGTTTGCTCACTAAGTCATCTCCTATAGGATTTCAAGACTTAATACCACTTTCATCAAAAACTAAGGCACTGTTTCCTGTTATATCAAGTTGAAATGCTTCATAATCTGGCTTCACTACACCTGTCACACTACATATCCTATTTCACTTCAGCCCAGTTCTCTGTGCTCCAGGCTAGCCTGTTGATTTTCCTCTGAAACAACAAGCGACACTGTTGCCACAGGCATTCATGCAGAAGACTTCATTGATGCCGGGCTTAGAAAATCATAGAATGCATGGTTGCTTCTCTCAAGAAACTTAGAATTTAGTGGCATATTCTAGCTTGACTTACGTGCTATTTCATGCCTAGAACACTCAGCTATTTGCCTGATTTTCCAGATTCAGTTCAAATTCCACTTATTTAAAAGCTTTCTCTATACTTGCCATGTTGCTTTGATGCACATGCAGTTCTGGATAAACAATATTTCTAGATAGTCTGTGACATAATAGATACCTAGATGCTAATTGAGCAAAATAATTTTTGGCGTTTTTGTCCTATACTCTGTTTTTTTTTCATGTATAAATCTTGTGTTCTCAGCAAGATTGTCTATGCCTTCATGGCAGGGACTTCTTTTATGTTTTCCACAGAGCTAGATCATTATAAAATACTTGCACTAAATTAAATATTATGCCATGTAACTGAGCTTATTTGGGGAAAGAGGTCAATAAAGACTATGGAATAATTTGAGGTCTTGGGTATGAGATACCAAAGGAGGTAGTTGTTAGTACTTGAGAGATTGCTCCAAATAACATCAGATGAGCATGCTTCCAGGTTTTCTGTATTACTTGCATGACCTATGATTCTAAGTTAATGAAATGAGTTCGTCCCTCTTCTTACCCACTGTCCCTGATTATTTTATATATGTTATACTTAATGTCTTCATTTTTTACCTCTAGTATGAAGTGTAACAGAACAGACTTTACCACCTGAAACTGCTGCTTCAAGTTCAGATCAGGCAAGGAACAAACCTCGTAACAACTAACAAGACCAAAGAAGAGTACACTTAAGTTGAAGACACAACACTTGATCTGAAACAAGAAGTTTGTGCCTACTCAACAGCTTTGAAAGAGCACTTCCCAACGCTGCTAGTAGTCTTTGTTTTCTTCAGTGCTGTACTGTGAGATTGCCCGGTACAGCAGCAGTTGTATTCTTTATTAGCTTGGTAGATCATTTTCTCTCGCTCTTTTTTTTAATACTAGCAACTTTCATCCTTTGAAACGTGTGCTGAAAAGAAGAATCAGCAAATACTACTGAAAGTGCAATATTCGATTATCACTGCGAGGTAGGTTTGTAATTTCCTATTAAGAATCAGTTCCATAATTCTGGATTTTCTGATTATTTGGTCAAATATAAAATCTTTATTTGTTCTTTTCTAAAGGTATTCAGAAGACAGTTTTTCTATTCTCAACTAGTGTGAAATATCAACACTATCTCTAGATAAGGACAGTGTTTATGGTCAAAACAGATTTTTCACACCAGATTATATTAATACATGCTGATCTCTCGACTTACTGGTCTCTTAGAGAAGCTCTGTCTGTACTATTTAGAAGTTAGGATTTCAAATAAGAATGCATTGCAGTCTTTCCACGAGGGTCTGTGAAACTTTGGTGATATTTGTTACTGACATCTGTTTCTCTCTCTTCAATGTTAGCTTCTTGAGGGAAGAACCTTGGTTTATATCCATACCTACATTTACAGTGCATATTTATGAATGGTATACAGTGCATATTTGTGAAAGAATGGTTGACATGCCTACTGTATTGTTAGGCATTGCTAGTGCTGAAATATAATGAGTGAATAAGATATTAGTGGACCTGCAATACAGGACGATTTGTTACACAGGATCACAGTTTAATATAGGCTAAAAGATATTCATAAAATATTAAGAATGTAACTGAAGCTGTTCCCTTGAAGGTAAGGAGGAGGGCAAAGAAAGCCTACAGAGAAAGGATATTTGAAGGTGAGTAGTACCTTGTTAAGAGGGAGAAGAGACATTGGTAGAGGTATAGAGACAACAGAATTAGCAGATTCAGGGAGACCTGAAAGCACATGGTATATATTAAGTTGTTCATTATGAACAAAGTAGAGAATACAATTTTGTGGGGAGAGTTACGAAGGGAAGTTTGCTGGAGGCTTGGCCCAATACATTTGTCTTTATTCTCTAGGAGAGCCATCAGATGTCTGTAAGCAAAGGCTTAATGGGTTTTTCCCCCAAAAGTAAGATAGCTTTATTGCTTCACATTTTAAAGTAATATTGAGAAGTGTACCTTTAAAAGACAAATGGTGACACTTTTGAGGGAAAGGCTGAGGATGGGAAAATCTGTCAAAAGCAGTGGATCGAGTATAAGGAAGATAAAAGCTAAGGTTTAGGTAGAGAAAAAGGTAGATGCTGAATGTTCTGATGATAGAAGTGAGGACTTGGAGACCAGCTGATTCTGAAGGTAAATGTAGAGGGAATGACTTTATCAAATCCAGTTGTCCAAGCTAGAAACCATTGTTCATAGGAATAGGGAAGTTAGCGTAGTAACTTACTGATATTAAAATATATAGTGGAAATCTATTGAGGTCATTAGCAATCTAAAGTTGAAGGAAATACGCTAGTACAGAATATTAAACAGTGGTTAACTTTGAAGGTTGGCTTATGAAGAGCAATTTTCCTCTTTAATCTTTAGTTTCCAGATTTTCTAAAGTTAGTAGACATAAAGGAATTCAGAAAGAAGTCATCAGATTATAGGTAATAAAGGAAGAAGCACCAATGAAGAGAGCAAAGAAGTAGAAGTCAGGAAGAAGCACCAAAGATAATTTCAAGAAGTCAATGGTAAACATTTTTTTAAATGCTACAGAGGTCAAATAAAATGAAGAATGAAAGTAAGTCGTGCAGTTACAAAAGCTTCACTGCTCTTTCAAGAAGCACTTAGGACTTTATTTCCAATTTATTGAAGGATTATGTAATAGTGTTGATGACCTTACTGTGCACTAGAATATTCCTTAACTAAAAACTAGTAATATTATCTATGTCTCATAAACAGACAGACATTTAATTTTAAGGTAACTGTACCATTTAGTTTTTCTATTTGTTTCTTCTTACCTTAGCTGATTTTTAAAGAATAATTTTAGAGTTTTAGACTAGTTGTTATGGATTCCATTGGATTAGCTAAGGAAGATTAACACAAATTGAAACCACAATTTTATGTTCTGAAGGATAAAAGATTAGATTTTTTTTTTTTTTTTTTTGAGACGAATCTTGCTCTGTTGCCCAGGCTGGATTACAGGCGTGCATCACCACACCTGGCTGATTTTTTGTGTTTTTAGTAGAGACGGGGTTTCACCATGTTGGCCAGGCTGACCTCGAACTCCTGACCTTGTGAGCCACTGTGCCTGGCAAGATTAGATATTAAGGCTTTCATTTCATTGACGTGATTTATAGAAATAGATTTAAAGAAATGCTTTTTGTTTAGCGTAATCTTTGTATTCCGAATATTAGTTTACTACATGAACATTTTAATATATAAATGTATCCATAGCTGTCTAAAAATTACATGTTTACATAGTTACAAAGAAACCACAATTGGGATGAAGATTTTTAGCAGTAAAACATGGCCATGGTTATACAGTTGTGAAATAGTTCAGTGAAAGGGGACACACACCTAAGGAAACAGATTTGGTAATGCAATGGAACCCCCAGATTTTAAAGGGGGGTTTTGTAAAGTCATTAAAAATAATACATAATTAGGAACAAATACATATGGAAGGGTAGAATTAGCCATAAAATGGCAAGAAAGAACAAGGACTGTAAAACATTTGTTTGACATGTGAAAATAGACCTGAATTGTTTGGTGAATGATTTGATCCAGGTAGTCTAAAGGTGACAGACAAGAGGAAAGCAAAACTAGAAAATTCCTGTCATGCTCCTAGTTTTTTTCTGCTGAATGCAATAATTTTCATACTTGAAACATAGCAAAGCAGAGAAAACCGAAGCCCCAGATGAGTGAGAAAGTAACAGGATTACTTGGCAGTTGCTAAGGTGCTAGTTACTAGGTGTGTGATAGTAGTCAAATAGAGACCTATGACAGAAACTGTCAGTGTCCTGATTTTTCAGTCAGATGTGGAAACTGTTGAGCTTACTTTTCATCTCTAGCAAAAACCCCAGAGCCAGTGAATAAAAAACTTGACAGAGTAGCTCATGATAGCATAATGGTCAGTATGGAGAAATGTTGCATGGATAACAATTAAAAGAGGTTAGTAAGAGACTGATTTTAGAGAAGTCTCCAGGTGTATGCTGCCAGATGCTATCCTTGCCCTGCTTTTTTCAGAGACCTAATAAGTAGTTATGTGAGTACCTGTGTGCTACGTAAGCACTTATTTTAGGCTTTTTACATGAAGCAACTCATTTAACTATCTCAACAACTGTGTGAGACAGGTATTAAGATAGGAGAATGAATGATTAAAAGATACACTACGCAGAGTCTGATAATTTAAAATTAGTCACCAATTTGAAATACTAGATTAACCAACAGAAGGCATTTTAAAAGCATTAGGTAATAGTTTTTTATTTAGGAACAAATGATCCATTACAGAGGAACTGAAAGAAAACCTGATTTTGCTAATGTGATTTGTGAAGAAATGATGGGGATATTTTTTAGTTTTACAAAGTTATAAAACTTCAGTCTACAGAATCAAGGGGTGTAATCACTCAGTACCTTATATTGGTCGGGTACGTTAAGAATAGTCGTGAAATGCGCTTTAATGAGTAATTACTTAGAACCTATCCAGAAGACCGCAATTAGTATGAAAAATGGTTGTGTTAAGAAAATTGAAAGAAACAGTGGAAGTCAAGGGGAGGTATGTTTGAGAATACAGGGTGGTTTTCTAAAGATCTTATGGTGAAATAGGCTACCTCTTCTAAAGTAATTGTTTGACAATCAGTAGAAGCCAAGCAGACCAGATTAGTGGGGAAAAACAACTTAGATCTTGTAATAAATTACAAAGCATAGATTTCCACCCCCTCTCCCCAAAGGAACTTGGAAACCAGTTAGGTGCTCCCACTTTACTTTTGAGGACAAAATCCCAGAGATGTTAGAAGTACTTGAGAGTCAGGGCTGAAAGCCAGTCTTTTGACTTTTATGTTCTTCAGGGAACTTCAGTTTATTTCTTGGGTTAGAAATGAAGTTTAAATTTGACCTGAGATTTGTTCCAGTTTTGCTTTTATTAAAGGAGGACTAATTTTGTTAATGACTTCTTCAGTTTTAAAAGTAAATATGCAGAAAAGGGTAGAAGGTCTAAACTTTATGAGGCTGGAGATATTTGTTTGTTGTGTTACCTACTATATGAGTAGAACCTAAAATAGTGCTGATGCATTGTACGAACTCAATTGTGGTTGAATGAATAAGGCAGTGGTTAAGAATGGAGTCAGAACTGGATTCTGTTCCCACATTTGCCATTTTTAGCAGTGTGCCCTTAAGATGGCTAAGTGTTTTCTCATCTGTGAACATTAAAGTAGATTTTCTGGTCTTTAAATACTTTTGAAATCATACTGTATAAATATCTGATGTTTCATTTCCTATTACAGAATAAGCATTTTCCACATATTCTTTCCAATGAGCACATAGCATTACATAAGTTGCAATGACGTCTTGAACCATAAAGTGTGTTAGACTTTAGGTTATTTCCAGGAATTTGCTACAAAAATATGTTTGTTAGAATACTTGTGCATAAAGCTTTTTTCACATTTCAGATTTCCCCAGGAGAGCTTTTCTGCAATGCAGTTGTTAAGAAAAGTATCTCCACATTTTGATACGTGTTGCTAAATTGCATTTCTAAATGTTGTACCAATTTACTACCATAAGAGTGTATGTGTTGTTCTTAGCTCACTTTTTCATTATTTTAAAATCTTACATCTTTGCTAATTTGGTATATGAAAGTATTAATTTGCTTTATCTGAATTTTTTTATTGCAAAAATTCAAAGGTTTTTTTATGTTTAATGTTTTGAGCTTTTGTGTTTAATGATTGATATTCAAGGATGATTTATTTACTCACTTAATCAGTAATTCAACATAGCACCTGCTCTGTGCCAGGCACTGTTTATCTAAAATCTAGGGATTTAGCTTTTAATAGAAAGTTATGCCCCTCAAGAAGCTTATATTCTGGTAATTTAATTATACTGATTTGCCTAGAATCTTCAATACTACTCTGGTGTATATACACTTTTCCCCCTAGGTTTGAGTATGAACGCTTGTGCTTTTTCTATAATCAGGTATCAGTCCCTTCTGTTTTTTTTTTTTAATTGATTTCAAATCTAGAAAGTTCCTCCCTTGCAAAGATTTTACAAATATACACATCCGGGGGTGGGTGTGTGTGTGTGTGTGTGTGTGTGTGTGTGTTGTGTGTTTTGGGGTTTTTGTTTGTTTTATTGTCGTCGTTTTTGTTTTGAGACGGAGTCTCACTCTGTCACCCAGGCTGGAGTGCAGTGTCAGGATCATGACTTGACCTACCGGGCTCGGGTGATCCTCCCACCCCAGCCTCCTGAGTAGCTGGGACTATAGGCCTCCGGCTAATTTTGGCTAATTCTTGTATTTTTTGTAGAGACAGCGTTTTGCCATGTGCCCAGGCTGGTCTCAAATTCCTGGGCTCAGGCAATCTGCTACCTCAGCCTCTCAAAGTGCTAGGATTACAAACATGAACCACTGAGCCTGGCTGGTTTTTAAATATTTTTTAAGACATTAAACTTGGTTCATTTGCATACATTTTTATATGCTGTTAGGCAAGCAACTAAATTGTGAATTTTGTTTTCCCCTGTTTGAAAAAGAAGCCAAGTAACATTTACCTGTTGGGTCCTTCCTACCACCAGCTTTGTTAGTGTCTTTAATTTTTTATAAACAAGGATCTGTTAAATTACTTCCATTTGTGTTCTACTTTTATGTGTTGTTTTTGTGATAACTTCCATTTTGCTTGTTTTTTGGTGGTGCTGATGAAGAAATATTTGCAGTGCCATAAAAATATAGTTTAGCCAAATTATTAGGAATTCTTTGAAAAGTATTAACGTGTCACATGTCTTATATAAAGTTGTTTGAGTGGTGCGTTTCCCGTTGGAAAAATAAAATAAAGGCATCCTCCAAATGGATAAAGGCTAGGGAAAGAGAGCTCTAGTCAGCAAAGATTCTGGGAGAAGGGGACAGCTTTTTCAGCTGTTTTGTTTTGCATATAAGGATGAGACGAGACCCAAACAGTAGAGCCCAGATTCCAGCAGTCTTGTTGGGGAGCAATTTAGAGTCTTAAAACTAGCTTTGATGCTTTCTGATTCTGGTTCAGTCTCCCTTTGGGTGAGAAAAAGAGTATTTCTATCTCCTACCTGCAGAGATGTGTGGCAGGATTGGAGACTTGAGAATGGATTTTTTGCAGCTTTCAGGCATATATATTTCAGATAATATCATTGTGTTCTTGTTTAATGGTAATCAGAACTATAGTCCAAACATGAGGCCAGGTGCAATGGCTCATGCCTGTAATCCCATCACTTTGGGAGGCCCGGGGCGCCGGCGACGGGGGACGGATCTCTTGAGGTCAGGAGTTTGAGAACAACCTGGCCAACATGGTGAAAACCCGTCTCTACTAAAAATACAAAAATTGGCTGGGTTTGGTGGCGCATGCCTGTAGTCCCAGCTTGGGAGGCTGAGGCAGGGGGATCACTTGAACCCAGGAGGTAGAGGTTGCAGTGAGCCAAGATCGCACCACTGCACTCCAGACTGGGTGACAGGACGAGGCTCCATCTCAAAAATAAATAATTAATTCAGCCTGGGTGACAGAGCAAGACTGTGTCTTCAAAAGTAAATAATTAAATAAACAAACATGAAAGAAGCACAGCTTGAAAGTCCCTCAGTGATCTAGAATAATGGTTCTCAAGGTAATTTTATACTGCTTGTCAATTAAAAACATGTATTGTCGATAAGTGTATATATTTATAAATTGTGTGATTACAATTTTGTGTCTGCATTGTAAAACATAGTGGTACAAATAGGAAAAATGTGGAGTGAGGGATATTATATAAAAAGTTTACTTGTGCAGAAATGTTCTGTTCTTGCTAGAAATACTATGTTCTGGATTGCTGGTTTTTGAGTGTTTAATTTTAAAAAGGTTTATAATACCATGAATTAGTATCAAGGGGATCAACATTTAGTGCATTGTATTGCAACTGATATAAATCCATATCATAGTCTTGATCTTAACTTTTTGGCATACTTGTCATATCTCATTAGATGGTTTCTTAATGTGGAGGTTGAAGAACTAGTACTAGGAATAGAAATGTCAATTCCCATGCCCTTTACATGTGCTTGCCTTATCTTCCATCTGAGGTTCTTCTGCGGGAATCTTTCAACCATTTGTCTATTTGGGCTTTTTTTGTTTTTCTGGGTTGGAGTCTTGCTGTATTGCCCAGACTGGAGTGCAGTAGCACAATTTCGACTCACTGCAACCTCCACCTCCTGGGTTCAAGCAATTCTTGTGTCTCCACCTCCTGAGTAGCTGGGGCTGCAGACCCATGCCACCATGTCTGGCTAAATTTTGTATTTTTAGTAGAGACAGTCTTTTACCATGTTGGCCATGCTGGTCCCAAACTCCTGACCTCAAGTGATCTGCTCACCTCGGCCTCCCTGTGCTGTGATTACAGGTGTGAGCCACTGTACCCGGCCTCATCTGTCTATTTGTGAAGGTAGTTTAGTTACACTAGATAAGTAAATTTGTGTATTTCCTTATCGGCCATACTGGAATATAGCAAGAGCAAATGAGTGAGGACTTCACTGTCGGCCTCTTATGGAGTTCTCCACTCTTCCCTCAGAATATCTGAGTAATACATGATACCATCTGACATACCAACTCGGTGAAACCTAGACTATAAATACATAGTAAATATTTATAAAAGCTCATTTTTATCTCTGGGCAGAAAAATAGTCCCAATTATTCTACACCCCATTGGATTATCTGTGTGTACTGTACTTTAGGGAGACTAGTGACTAAAAATGATAGGTTCTATTTAAAGTTGATTGGCATTGAAAAGAAACTGGACTGAATAGTCTCACTCCAACAACCATCAAGAGTCTTTGTGGCATTTTCAGAATTGTTGATATCGTCGTATGTTTTAATGGCTTAAAAAAAAAATACATTTCACCTTTTATAGTAATGTTAATTCTATATATTTCCTATGTCGATAGAAATCTGATTAATTTTATTTTGCTAAACCCGAGCTAAAAATATATAAAGGTTGACTGTGAAATGTGCACAAAATTGTTACTGATCATAGTTATCAACATTATGCTATGTTATAACAGCTGTTTGAGATGGAGAACGTTTTTACTGTGTCGTCAGATCCTCATCCCTCTCCTGCAGCCCCTCCTTCACTTTCTTTACCCTTATCTTCATCTTCTACCTCATCTGGGACTAAAAAACAAAAGAGGACCCCAACTTATCAGAGATCTGTAAGTCAGGAAAGCAGTCATTCTCAGCTTACCTTGCTTTGTGTTAAGAGCATGACCTAGGATTGCCACTCATTCTGGTTGAAATATCCTGCAGACTCACCTTCTAACTTCCCGAATCATTTTTTTTAACTTCAGTCTTGAAAGATAACCCAGTAGATTAGGGCCTTGCTCAAAGTATGTCCAAGAATCAGAAGCATTATTAACACCTTGGATCTTAATAAAGATGGAAAATCTCAAATCCCTATACGCACTGAGTCTGATTTTGTATTTTAACTTCTCATTTGAGAAGCCCTGGTTTAGAGCCAGACTTTCTTGGTTTGAATCTTCTATTTGACTTTGGCAAGTCATTTAACTTCTCTTGTCTGTTTTCTCATTGGTAAAATGAGGCTAATACAATACTTTCTTTTGTAAAAGTTCAATGAGTTAGTATATGTTAAACACAGAACAGTGGCTAGTGTAGAAGAATTAGAACGTAACCACCTACAGGTGTGGTGGCTTTAATTTACCTGATTTGACCACACATATCATTGACTCCTACTTTTGTTTTATCTTTCTAGAATTTGTTACTTTTTTCCTAATGAAAATGTATCCTTTTTATTAATAATGTCCAATATCCCACTTAAATGGAAATACTGATTATAAATGAGATTTTCAATGAAAGGGTCTAAAACATAATTGTAATGATTTGGAAATGTCATTAACTATGGTAAATTATAGACCTAGGCTTTGCTAAGGATTTCGTCCTATTTTGTGCTTCACTTACAGGTTTTGTTGTTTTACTCAAAGAAAGGAAAATGGAACATCCAATGTGATAGTATTTTATGACCTAGGCAGATTACGTTATATTGCTTTTAAATAGCTCCTGTTTCACTAAAGAATGGGAAAGAAGTGATAGTTAGATTTCATCAGTATGTGAAAAGTGAAGGGTTTCTTTCAGGTAAAGATGTCTTTAAATGTACCTGTGAAATGATTCAGCATTTTTAAAATGGAAATGCTTTTGCTGTATTGTAGTTTTGTTGTCTCAGAAGTTTTCTAATACACTATTTTGGATAGTCTTTCATTAAAGGACCTAAGCATGAATTACTCTGAGATTTTCTAGTTTAAGTATTGCATAGAAAGTTTATTTTATTGTGTTAATCTTTACTAACTTGAAATATGCCTTCCAAATGCATGACTTACTAAATTGTATTAAGGTATCAGCTGAAGTTTCAAAATAGTGTTACCAAATCTCTTAAGAGTCTTTGGTAGTTAGTGGTCACTGTCTCTTAATGTTAATTACCCTTGTTCTGAATTTGTTTTAGTAATTTTCAGTTTATGTAAAGGCAGCATTTACTGATGTAGTTGTCATATGTTAATAGTAAACCCCAGAAATTCTATTTTTGTCTGGTAAGTGGAAATTCTACCATAATTTGGGGCAGTTCCCCAATATAATAAATTGTTTCCTCTGAAATGTTTTATTAGCTAAATTAATGCTGCATTAATAAAAGTCCATAATCTTCCTTTCATTTTACTTTTTTTTTTGCCTTTTTATATGGAAGATTTAGTGACTTATTAACCAGACATAATATGCCATGGAGCTAATGTGCAGATACGTATATATTCTTTTTGTTTTTAAAACAGATGAGCTTTGATCCAAACCTTCTCCACAACAATGGACATAATGGGTACCCTAATGGTACTTCAGCAGCACTGCGTGAAACTGGGGTTATTGAAAAACTGTTAACCTCTTACGGATTTATTCAGTGTTCAGAACGTCAAGCTAGACTTTTCTTCCACTGTTCACAGTATAATGGCAACCTGCAAGACTTAAAAGTAGGAGGTAATTTGTCAGTTCTCCTTTGTAAAAATGTAATCACAAAATTTGTCTTGCATATCAACTTGTTCATGAGTGTTTTTCAAAAAAATGTTTTATGTAAATAAAAACATTTTGGACTTTCAGTTGTATTGTTTACTGAAGAATATCTGTATAAACCAGCAGAATCCTTAAAAGATATATTTGTTTATATTTACAATAAATGCTTGGAAGATTTCTTTGTTCCCCCTAATGATGGCTGTTTACCTGTAAGATTTTAAGCCAGTAGGAATATTGAACTTTTATAATGTTATAGTGTTACTTATGATTATTCTATCAGGTACTATTTGGGGTAGTACCTGAAAAAAGTAATTCTTAGAATGTCACCTCTTAGATTATATGGAAATTCATTTTGGCTGACACCATACAAATTATTTCACAGGTCTGACATGGTGGCTCATGCCTGTATTCCCAGCAATTTAGAAAGCCAGGGCAAGCGGATTGCTTGAGCGCAGGAATTCAAGACCAGCTTGCAGCCTGGGCAACATGGCAAAACCCCATCTCTACAAAAAATACAAATATTAGCTGGGGAAGATGGCTTGTGCCTGTAGTCCCAGCTACTAAGTAGACTGAGGTGGGAGGATCGCTTGAGTCCGGGAGGTAGAGGTTGCAGTGAGCCTAGATCGTGCCACTGCACTCCAGCTTGGGTGACAGGGAGACTCTGTCTCAAAAAAAAAAAAAAATCATTTTTATGTGTTAAAGTGTTTGGCTTACTAAAGGACTGAAATTATGAGGCCTCTGTGCGTTTTTTAAAAACATGTTTGAGAAAAGAGTATAATAGCTAACAAGATGCATGCTATAGGAGCATTGTTTTGGTTAATCCTCATGGCAGTCCTGTTTGTTAAGAATTATTCTCCTTTTACATATGAGAAAACTGAGGTATAGAGGAGTTTAAAAAAAAAAACTTGCCAAAGGTTATGATTGTTAAGTAATCTCATTTTTAGTATGTGTAACTTCCATAAAAACTAAGATTAAGACATGGCTATCTTAGCCTAAGATGGTGGTTCTGAAACATTTTGTGTGTATCAGAATTACGTGGAAGGCTTGTTCAAACAGATTGCTATACTTGATCCCCAGAGTTTGTCTTTGGCTAGGACTAGAGTGAGGTCCAAGAATTTGCGTTTCTTTTAAGCTCCCAGGTGGTGTTAATGCTGGTCCAGGGACCACGCTTTGAAAACCACTGGTCTAAGGCGATTCAAATGCTATGTTTAGTTTGGAATCAATATATTGTTTTGCAAAAATTAGTTCAACAAATATAACACATTCTTTATTTTAGATGATGTTGAATTTGAAGTATCGTCGGACCGGCGGACTGGGAAACCCATTGCTGTTAAACTGGTGAAGATAAAACAAGAAATCCTCCCTGAAGAACGAATGAATGGACAAGTTAGTGACTTTGATGCTTTCTGTTTTTTTAGGGCCCTGCATTTGCATATCTTTCACATTAGAAAAGGAAGATTCTCCCCATCTCCTCAGTTTGCACGAAAGAGAGCTATAGTATATAAAGATTACTATTTTAAAATTAATCAAAAGCACTGGCATTTCTTGACCTGAAATAAAAATATGGTCAAGACTCAATTGGGTTTTTACATATAACCCTGAGTCAATGCTTACAGTCAATTTACATACTGTAAGTTTGAAACTTGGCAGCATGACATCCTCTTGTGGATCATATTAAAATGCATCCCTGTGTATAGTATAGAGGATATTAAAATTCAGTTTATATTGCACAGTGCTGCTCCTGAAATGATTAGCAATGGAAATTTTTTTTTTTTTGACTGGTAGGTTGTGTGCGCTGTTCCTCACAACTTAGAGAGTAAATCTCCAGCTGCCCCGGGTCAGAGTCCAACAGGGAGTGTATGCTACGAACGTAATGGGGTAAACTTGTGTATTTTTCTTAAACCTTTGCCTGATCCACCATGTGATCTATAAGCGTACTTTAAAATTCGAAATAGAAAACGTAAGCTGCAATTGTTAAAATCAGTTTTAAATTTGGTTTTTAAGAGGCTTCAAATGCAGCATAATCAAAAAATTTAAAAAGAAAAATTCCATAGGACTTCCAAGTGTCAGTTTGCCCAAGTATGACCTTAGTTAGAACATTAAGGTAAAATGTTCCTTTTAATCACTTTTTTGGGGGTTGTGGGGGGGATCTTTTTCTGGTTTCTTTTAAGCACTAACACCAGCTTTTTTTGTTTGGAATGCCTTATATAAAATTGGTTTTTTTGAAATGTAACTATAGTCTCTGGGCAAATGCTTCCACGTGTGTAAGCTTTTTGAAGTTGGATTGCTGCTCAGCTGTGGACTCGCAGAAGTCATCAGCACCGTGGAGGGGAAGTGTGTGTTTACATGAATAAAGTAACTTACTTGTCATAAAGCATTTAATTTTAAGAAATTTGGCTTAAAATGCCAGTATAAGAGGTTTTTAAGTAAGTAAATCACAGTATACAGTGAATATGCATCCTGCCAAAATAGTGATAATGATTTATTAATTCACAGGAAGTGTTTTATCTGACTTACACCCCTGAAGACGTCGAAGGGAATGTTCAGCTGGAAACTGGAGATAAAATAAACTTTGTAATTGATAACAATAAACAGTAAGTTCTTTTTTAAAACAATTTTCTCACCTAAGTGTTTTGTGTGTGTTTTGTTTTCCTCCATTAAGAAATTTGAAGTGGATTTAAAACCTAACTTGGAAGTCTGGATAGTTTTCATGAACTTTCAGTTCATCAACTAATGATTTGAGGTCTGTGAATATTGTATTACAGCTATGATGTAGGATCTCAGAAATAGGAAGATGATAATTAAAACATTGTCAGGCATTTCAAGGACTTGTTCTAGAGATCAGTGAAGGTTTTTCAAAAAATAGTGCTTTGAGGTAAGTTTTAAGGGAGGGATATAGTCACTAGAGAGATGAGAAAAAAGAGCATTATGGATAGAAGAAATATCATGACATGTTTTGGGGAAATGGCCAAAAGTTTAGTCGAATTGGCCGGAAGGTAAAGTTTGAGCGTTCTTCTATGTAGGAATCTTTGTGGTATTTAAAACAAGGAAGTGTGATTGGTTTAGATCTTTGGAGGTGGTGGAAGTGGTAGACTTTTGAAAAGTGGGGATGCTGTTGACCAGAGGCAGTGATGTGAGTGAGAGTTAACGTGAAAGATGGCTAGCTAATATGGATAGACTAAGAGGATGGGGTGGAGGAGTCAAGTCATACTGAGAAGATACCATCATCAGTCTTAATTGATCAGATGAAGGTGGGATTGGAATTAAAGGGAGTCCCAAATACTGTTTTTCTGGCCTGGCCTACTGGGCAGATGGTACCATAAACTGGACTAAGGAGACATAAGGAGAAAGTTCAGGGTGGGAAAAGAATCATACTTACTTTGGCAATTTTTGAGTGAGGTGTTTGTGACATCTGGGTAGAGATTCAAATCTACAGTTGCGTGTATAGGTCTGAGACTTAGACCTATAAGTCTAAGGTCTGTTTCCTGCCTATAGGGAAAGTATATAGAGCTGTAGAATTCATCAGCATACACAGTTAAGGAAAATGTAGTTAAGAAAGCTCAGGGAGAATATTTTTATCTTGGGATATGAGAGATGGGAGATGCAAGAGGAGAAGGAAATTAAAATAGGAAGTTGGAGAAAGTGCTAGTAACGTACTTTCCAGTAGCATGTGGAGGGAAAAGTCCTAAGAGCAGATAATCCTAAGGATTATCTGCCTTGAACCTTCTCTCTTTCTTGGCAAGTCTAGAAGGAATCAGATTGCATTGTAGGTATGGTTATTATTACAGTCTGAAGGCCTCAATTTATATAGTTGTTAATCTCAGAACAGCCTTACCTGGTAAGTTTCTTCATCTGTAAAATGAGGTATAAGTTCTCACAAAGTTACTTGTCGACATTCGTACTGCTTTTAAATAGCAGGCATTTAAATTCCCATCTGATTCTAAAGCCTTTTCACTGCAGTAAGTTACAAAAGCAGGTAGAATTTTTCTGGTGTCTTTGTTAGTCTGTAACTTTTTTTTAAATAAAAAACACATTTTGGGTTATTTGTCCATGAAAAATTAAGGGAAGTAATTGCTTGGTATATAGGTCTTCTCTTAAAACATTTAGACTAACAGTACCATTATGTCTTATATAGTCTATGTTATCTTAAAATTGAATTTATATCGCTGCTGCACAAAAATGAGGGCATAAAAGCAACATGTGGTGTCTCTAACTTGTTTCCATTCTCCAATGGCGGTGAATATCATTACTTTTAAAAGCATAGCAAGTTCTCTTAAAATCACTTCATTTGCTCAACTTTTATGGCTGTTTACTCAGAAATAATTGAGATAGCTACTAAGTTTAGCACTCACTGAAAATAGAGACCATCTCCTATTCATCTGTGTGTCACCAGTACCTTTTATAAAACTTTAGTATTCCCCATGTTTGGTAGCATTCGCTTTGTGGCTTTATTTCAGTTCTTTTGTTGAAATAGAAAAACAGTAGAACATCATGCACCCATGTGTAAGTTTGTAAAAACAAATCTTCCAACAACAGTCTTAGAGAAAGATGACATATATATATATTTGCCAAATGTAGAAGGCTAAGGAGTTAAAGTCCTTTGCATATAAAGCCATATGAAAGTAATCAAATGTCATAAACCCTGTATTTATTCTTAGTGATGATAGAATTATTGAAGCCCCAGGAAACTAGTTTCTTTAAACTCATATCTAAGCAAGCCAATACATTTTTAACCCGTGTTTCATTCCTCCTCCCTGCAATTATTTTTTTTCTAGTACTGGTGCTGTAAGTGCTCGCAACATTATGCTGTTGAAAAAGAAACAAGCCCGCTGTCAGGGAGTAGTTTGTGCCATGAAGGTAAGTATTAAATTTGAGAATCTTGAGTTTTTCTTTGGCCATTTAAAGTGTTGTACTTCAAACTCCAGCCTTTTTTTTTTTTTTTTTTTCTTTTTTATCTTTACCCTTTAAAAATATTTCACTGTTAGCCTCAAAAGTAGTCTCTTAAAATTCCTTGGTTGCTAATGCATTGTATTCTTTGAAATTGGCTGTTTAATTGATAATATTAGATTGTACCAAATTATACTATTGTGACTACAGTATAATTTTACAAAAATTATTGGTTTTAAGTTGTAATCCTAAATTTGTACAGAGTGGTAATAATGTTCTTGGTTTTTTGTTTTGCTTCAGGAGGCATTTGGCTTTATTGAAAGAGGTGATGTTGTAAAAGAGATATTCTTTCACTATAGTGAATTTAAGGGTGACTTAGAAACCTTACAGCCTGGTGATGATGTGGAATTCACAATCAAGGACAGAAATGTAAGATAGTTAACTTGATCTTTGGACTTTTAAGATCAGCGGTGGTTTATGTTTTTAAGAAACACTTAAAATTACGTGATTCTTCCTTCCCCTGTGTCCCCACCACCTCCAACCCCTTCTGATTTAGGGTAAAGAAGTTGCAACAGATGTCAGACTATTGCCTCAAGGAACAGTCATTTTTGAAGATATCAGCATTGAACATTTTGAAGGAACTGTAACCAAAGTTATCCCAAAAGTACCCAGTAAAAACCAGGTAAATAATCTTTTCCAGGACAGTCCTATTTCGCCTCGGTAGTAATAGAATAATATGGTATGGTATACTGAAATTTTATCTTACTCAGTTAACATGATAGTGGAACAACTAAGTACCTCTTGTTATGTATAGTTAAACTAAAAGACAAACCAGATTTACATCCCATAATATGGTTTTTGGTGTTTTGTAGTTTTTTTTGTTTTTTTGGTTTTTTTTTTGGAGACAGAGTCTTGCTCTGTCGCCAGTCTGGAGTGCAGTGGCGCGATCTCAGCTCGTTACAGCCTCAGCTCACTGCAATCTCCGCCTCCCGGGTTCAAGCGATTCTCCTGCCTCAGGAGTTGCTGGGACTCCAGGCACGCGCCACCACGCACAGCTAATTTTTGGTTTTTTTTTTAGTAGAGACGGGGTTTCACCCTGTTGGCAAGGATGGTCTCGATCTCCTGACCTTGTGATGCACCTACCTCGGCCTCCCAAAGTGCTGGGATTACAGGCATGAGCCACCTCACCCAGCCAAATATGTATTTTTTTTTTTTTTTTACTGGGTGATGAGAAAAGACCAAAGAAGAAAATGCTAATTAAATTGGAAAGCACCTGATTGGATTAGACTGCAGTTCAAGTGTACATTTGTTCCCTCTTCTGCCCCTGCCCCACCCCTCCAGTTTATTTGTAGGGAAGCTGAAGACACAAATGGTGTCATTGCTGGGAAAATTCCTTAAATAAAATTTTTTGGTACCAGAGTACAGGGTCTTAATAGCAGTGTTGTAATTTTATGGTTGACTCATGTGACCATAGACCATGAAGCTTTCACATTGGACTTATGTTGTCAACGCCTTTTTTCGCTTCAGGAAACTATGTTAAAAATAACATGGGTTTACTATGTGTTCTTCTTGTTTGACTTAGAACTAGGAAGGATGAGAAATCTCCAGCTAAAATCGTTTTTCCTTCTCATCAGAATGACCCATTGCCAGGACGCATCAAAGTTGACTTTGTGATCCCTAAAGAACTTCCCTTTGGAGACAAAGATACGAAATCCAAGGTGACCCTGCTGGAAGGTGACCATGTTAGGTTTAATATTTCAACAGACCGACGTGACAAATTAGAACGAGCAACCAATATAGAAGTTCTGTCAAATACATTTCAGTTCACTAATGAAGCCCGAGAAATGGTAAGTGTTGGATATTCCTGGATGTGTATCTGATATGTGAAAGCCAATGTTATATTCAAGTTTATACTACTAAATTAAAAATGTTTTTAAGTTAAATGACCCTAATGGGCATTTACCTTGTTAAGGTGATTAAGAATCATACTTGATTAGTCTGGGTTATCTCTGGCAGTTATCTTGGAAATATATGTGAAAAAATTTTTGAATGGAAATCTGGACAGGATTACTAAGGTATTGTTAGAGTCAGTGATTCTCTGGCCCTTAATATGAAGAGTAAGAAAATTCAAGTTCATCATTGTAGAAAGTAGATTTTCCCAAACTATTTCCTAAGACATTTAATCAGTGATGGTTTCTGTTTATAGGAAACACAATTCTCCAATGTGGTCCAGGGAAGCCGAAAGATTGGACACCCATGATCTAGACACTAGATCACACATAAAATACACTTAACACCAATGATAGCTGATGAGCTTTAAAAAAAAAAAAAATCTTAGGTGTGGTGGCTCACACCTGTAATCCCAGCACTTTGGGAGGCCGAGGCAGGTGATCACTTGAAGTCAGGAGTTCAAGACCAGCCTGGCCAACATGGTAAAACCCCATCTCTACCAAAAATAGAAAAAGTCAGCCAGGTGTGGTGGTGGGCGCCTGTAATCCTGACTACTCAGGAGACTGAGACAGGAGAATTGCTTGAACCCGGGAGGCAGAGGTTGCAGTGAGCCAAGACTATGCCATTGCCCTCCAACGTGGGTGACAGAGGGAGACTCTGTCTCAAAAAAATAATCGCAAAAACATCTCATGTTTTAAGAAGGTTTAAGAATTTGTAGTGTTGGGCCATGTTCAGAGCTGTCCTAGGCCACAGTTTGGACAAGCTCGCAATTAAACCAGAGTCAAAAAGGTTTCGTTTTGGCAGAACTTTGCAAATTGTTTTTAAAGAGTTTGTGTCTAGGAGTGGCATCATACCAACCAGAATTATTTCCCAAAACATGTTTTATGAATTCACTTTCTCAGACATAATTTACATTTAGTTATGTTTGGGATCATACCATCTACACTGTAACTCAGTGTTGTCAGTGGAACTGGGTACATTGAATGAAAATTTAAGTTTCTTGAGTTTTTTTTGATCCTTTGCCTTTGAAGAACTGATTGTATTTGACATAGTGTATTTAACTTTAAAAGTTTGTAAGTCTGAATGCGTGATTTTTTTTTTTTTTTTTAACATTTTCAAAGGCAAGCTCTGTTTTGCTTTACAGTATGGAAAATATAACTTGGCTACCATCAGGACATAGCAAGGATTAAATGTCAGAATATTGTTTAGGTCGTATTTAAAACTTACAGAATTACTTCTGCAGAGAGCAAATATGTAGTATGTAATAGAATAGCAGATTGATAATTTGTGTTCATTGTCTCATTAAACATGAGAACCTACCATGTTCCAGGTACTGTTGATACAATAGCCCTTACAAAGCTGATAATTTAGTAAGAAGGAAAAAAAAAAAAACAGGAGAAAAGATTTTGTATGTTTTATTCTTCAGATGTAATAAAGATGTAACTCTTTCCTGGGCCTAAACTCATGCAATTTTTGAGGTAGAAACTAGAGAATTGCCTTTGTCTACTTTGGAATTATGGTCTCTAAATTAGTGAAGTTTCTGGAAATTATATTGTCATTAGGCGTGGGCTTTTATGAAATACATTGTGTTCATGTGTTTACGTTCAAATGTGGTGATTTTTTCTAGTGCATATTTGCCAGGAAGTAGCAACTGGGGAGTCTTAGAAAATTGCTCAGGTTACTTTGTTGAAAGCAATGAGTTTGTACTTAAGTGAGAACAGTTCAAATGTGAATACAATATTTGTGTCACATCAGAGAAAATTCCTGATGAATTTAACTTGATGATGGTTGTAAAGTTGAATGTTGCCTTACTTGACAAATTTCACAGCCAGTGAAAATATTATTTGGGTTTCAGGGTGTGATTGCTGCCATGAGAGATGGTTTTGGTTTCATCAAATGTGTGGATCGTGATGTTCGTATGTTCTTCCACTTCAGTGAAATTCTGGATGGGAACCAGCTCCATATTGCAGATGAAGTAGAGTTTACTGTGGTTCCTGTGAGTTGTTTTTGAGAAAACTTGGGAGGTGTTTCTTGATGCTTTCTTTTTCAATTGAAAGTTAATTTTGTTTTATCATTTTTTAGGATATGCTCTCTGCTCAAAGAAATCATGCTATTAGGATTAAAAAACTTCCCAAGGGCACGGTTTCGTTTCATTCCCATTCAGATCACCGTTTTCTGGGCACGGTAGAAAAAGAAGCCACTTTTTCCAACCCTAAAACCACTAGCCCAAATAAAGGCAAAGAGAAGGTAGGTTTTGCGTAATCCAAATTATTTTTGTAGCTCTTTATTCCTCTTCTGCTTTAACAGCACATAGTTAATGGAGCACATATAATGAGCAGAGTTTGTCTCTTTCAGAATTCTCTGTCATATTAACAGTGAACTAAACAAAGTAAGGTTTCTTAACCTCAGGATTATTGACATTTTGGGATGAATGATTCTTTACTGTGGGGAGTGGGATGTTTAGCAGCATCTCTGGCCTCTACCCACTGGAAGTTGGTGTTCTGATCCCTTTTCCCTACCTCCCACTACGACAGCCAAAAATGTCTCCAGACATTGCCAAATGTCCCCTGGGAGGCAAACTCACTCCAGGTAGAGAACCAATTATATAAAATGATAGTACTGTCTTCCAGGCAATTTAAAACTTTCAAAGTTGGGTATCCTCAGTTCACACATTTAAACTTCATTTATTGAAAAATCCCCTGAACAGGAAATATAAATATGTCTGAGATGAATTCTCCTTTCAAGTTAATAACAAATTGAGAGAGTTTTATAGAAACAAGTAATTCATACAGAATATAAAATATTGCTATTGAAGGTCAGCGATAGTGCTCTGGTGAAAATTAACTGGTAGGGTATGGGATGGTTTCACTAATAGATGGAGACAGGAAAGAGCATTATTCACAGAGTAAAAGTACAGATGAGAAAAATTCAGGATTTCTTTAGGAAGCAATGAGTAACTAGTCTGACAGGAATTTTTTGGGGGGTTTTGTGTATGGGTTTTTGTTGGTGAGGGAGGTTAGGAGAAATAAGGATGAAAAATCAGGATCCAGCTAGACTGAGAGGGTGTTGATTGCTTCTCTAAAGAATTTAGACCTTGTTGACGGGCACGGTGGCTCATGCCTGTAATCCCAGCACTTTAGGAGGCTGAGATGGGTGGATGATGAGGTCAGGAGATCGAGACCATCCTGGCTAACACGGTAAAACCCTGTCTCTACTAAAAATACAAAAATTAACCAGGCGCAGTGGTGCGTGCCTGTAATCCCAGCTACTTGGGAGGCTGAGGCAGGAGAATGGCGTGAACCCGGGAGGCGGAGCTTGCAGTGAGCTGAGATTCTGCCACTGCACTCCTGCCTGGGCGACTGAGCGAGACTCCGTCTCCAAAAATTAAAAAAAAAAATTTAGACCTTGTTCTGTACTTAAAGGAAAAGATCTCTTTTAGATAATGACATTAGGTATGTGCTTTGGGAGAGTAATGGCAGCAATAATGAAGCCTAGATGGGATGGAGAAAGACAAAAGATGAAAAGGATTACTATGAAATTACTCGGATAGTTAAGGTAGTCCTTGAACTAGGCACAGAGATAGTGGCTATAGACAAGTGAAGGTACATAAGAGATACTGGAAAGTCAGTCATATTGTAATTTAATAATTACTATTAGGCAGAAAGAGCAAGGCTAGTATCTTGCTTATCACTTACTGTAGCTTGGGAAATTATTTTACCTCTGAGCTTCAGTTTTTAAGTTTCAAAAATGATTGTGTAATAGTTTAAAAAGCCCTCAAAATACCTAGCTCATAATAGGAATTTCACATGTGACAGATGATACTGTTAACAAAAATAAAAATAACTTCAGTTGGGGTTATTTTTAATAGCTCTGCTTCCCAAATGTGTCTGGCAAAACTGGCTTGATGAAGAGAGCCTTTGTGTGAGACTCTCCCTGCCGTTTTTGTTTTTTGTTTTTTTTTGTTAGTCCAACAACACCCTAGCGAGTAAATCCTCTGTCATCGTGCTTCTTACAGTATATAACATTTACCAGTTTATGAATCTCTCTGCTGCACTGGACTCCCTCAGGGCAGGGATTCTCCTATCTCTAATATATTTGATGTATAGTATATTGTCAGCTGTTGACTGGATGTCGAAGTTGATGAGTTAAGAGCAAAAGGTGAACAGTAAACTTTTGAGTTTGGTTGTGGAAAAGTTGATGACTTTGGAGTCAGACCTGAATTCACTGACATTGTTCTTAACCAAACTCAAATCCTCTGGATTATTTTGTGCTGGGTTTTGTAACCTTGGTAAGGTTTACTTAATTCCTCAGATTTTCCCAATTTGTAAAATGAGGGAAAAGAGAAACTATGGAGATAATTTTGTACAAGATTAATTTGATAATACATAATACCTGGTAATGTTGTAAGTGGTCAGTAAATCTATAACAGTTATGGAAGGAGTGTGATTGGTAGAGGAAAATGAAGTGGTTTTGAATATGTCATAGTTTGTAATGAGGACTGGAGTTGAAGGAAGTCAGGGCTAGAGTAGGGATGTGGGCATTATCTCCATAGAAATGTTGAAACCATAAAATCAGTATAATTTATGTAGTTGCTGTACACTGTCGTTACTTCACGTGTATGATTCAATACGACACACCTGAACTTTCTTAGAATTTTATTGTTTTTTATTTTTTTAGTCAAGTGCAGTAGTGAGAAGGGGGGAAAGAGTAGAACAAGGAAGTTCGATCTGTAACGGACTGAATAATCAAGATAACTCGCTACCTTCAGACCAGCACTTAGACTTTTTTAAGAGTTAATCATTCTTGCATGTAAGACGATTGAAATGTTGCTTCTCCTTGAAGTCTGGTATTAAAACAATTGTTGAAATACTGGTATGTCATAATTTTTAATCACCTACTTTATATCAAGTGCTTGAACTGTACTGGATCATATACCAAATTCTTCTGCATTAAGTATAATGATTGACATTACATATTAAATACCGTGCAAGGTGCTGTGTGCTACTAAAAGAGGATACTTCGGCAGCTTCTTTAGAAAATACTAAAGCTTCTTGCCCTATAGAATTTCTGCTTCGTTGGAAGTAACATGCCCAGTTTAATTTCTGATTGGCTATGAGGAGCATAGGTGTATTAAACATTTTCAGTAAGCTTTTTTCTCCTCAATAGCAAAAATTAGATTCTTAAGATTGAAAGAGAATTAAAAATTACAGCAGACTGAGCTAGTCTTAAGGCAAGACTACCTTTTATTCATATGAATAATCTGTTATTAGAAAACCCTGGAATAAGACATTTTTACAGCTGTATCAATCCTTTGGCTCAAGAATCTGTAAGAACTGTGGTTGCTTTTATTGGTTTTTGTTCTTGAGATTGTTTTCATTCTATTTTTGACTGTATCTCTTTAGGAGGCTGAGGATGGCATTATTGCTTATGATGACTGTGGGGTGAAACTGACTATTGCTTTTCAAGCCAAGGATGTGGAAGGATCTACTTCTCCTCAAATAGGAGATAAGGCAAGATAATTCTGCTTATTCGAGAGAGGGTTAAGAGTTGTCATCTTAATCATAAATCCTGCAGGATGGTTCTTCAGATTTTGTCAAGTTTTTCTGAAGTATATTTTGTGTTTAAGAGAAATACATTATCTTCCTATTTGAAAGCAGCTTATTAAAACAGTGTCTGTCAAGCTCTTTGTTAATCACAGCCTTGTTAATCTAGCTGTTTAAACGTCAGATGAAACATGCTTAAATAAAGTTGTTATTGGTAAGAAAGTTAAAACAGTTACTACTGAAACATTATCAAAGTAAAAGCACACCAAAGATTTTACATTGCTGTTCATTTTTTATTTCTCATACTTACTATGTTTGGTTTTTGGATAGCCCTCTAAAGAAATTAAGAATCTATAAGAAATACAGACTGAAAGACAAAACTTTGATCCTTTGTGAAAAATGGGATGAGACATAAATGTTTTGGTGAAAATCAATTCCACTGGAGTAATTACAAAGGATATTTGGAATGAAAAGCATGCGCTGGGGGAGTTATAGGTCTTGTTTTCTGAGTTAAGGACATTGGTGTGGAAGTGATATGGTGTTAATGAGCACCCTTAATTTTCACAGGTTGAATTTAGTATTAGTGACAAACAGAGGCCTGGACAGCAGGTTGCAACTTGTGTGCGACTTTTAGGTCGTAATTCTAACTCAAAGAGGCTCTTGGGTTATGTGGCAACTCTGAAGGATAATTTTGGATTTATTGAAACAGCCAATCATGATAAGGAAATCTTTTTCCATTACAGGTAAGGTGTGACTTTCAGGAACTGACAGCTAGCTTACCATCCATTCTTTGCTGTTGCAATAAAAAACATTTAGTATTGATTGATTATACTTGTTGAGGTCCAGATTTCGTATTTGTAGAATTATGCCATGATATAAACTGAAGTTAATCACTGATCTCTATATACAGAGCACGTGGCCAAAAGAAGTAGGCCTGTGCCTTCTTGTTTTGTGTGTTGGTACCATAAGGTTGGCCATTTGGTGTATAATATAGTGGTTAAGAGTAGGGGGTCTGACTGGGTGTGGTGGCTCATGCCTATAATCCCAGCACTTTGGGGGCTGAGGCAGGTGGATCCCTTGATTCCAGGAGTTCGAGGCCAGCCTGGGCAACACGGTGAAACTCCATCTCTACAAAAAGTACAAAAATTACCTGGGCGACTGAGCAAGACTCCATCTCAAAAAAAATGGTGGTGCATGCCTTTAGTCTCACCAACTCAGGAGGCCAATGTGGAGGACCACTTGATCCTCGGAGGCAGAGGTTGCAGTAAGCTGAGATTGCACCACTGTACTCCAGCCTGGGCAACAGAGTGAGACTCTCTCAAAAAAAAAAAAAAAAAAAAAAAAAAGGGCTCTTAGAACCAGACGGTTCAGCGTTTGAGTCCAGGCCCTGCCACTTTATACCTGTGTAATTTTTACCAAATAACTTCTTGGTATTTTAGTTTTATTATCCTGAAGTTAGGGATAATGTTACCTCTTCATAGGGATAAAGGATTAAATGAGTCAAGACATAGAAAGTACTTAAAATGGTGTCTAACATGAATAAGCATGCCATGCCATGACTGTTACTGTAAAATAAAGGCTGCCTGTTACTGTTGATGTTTATGGTAATGTTTAGTTAAATGTCATTTCCTTTCTCCTTAGTGAGTTCTCTGGTGATGTTGATAGCCTGGAACTGGGGGACATGGTCGAGTATAGCTTGTCCAAAGGCAAAGGCAACAAAGTCAGTGCAGAAAAAGTGAACAAAACACACTCAGGTAATAAATTGTGACTTCTCATTCAGCCTGTGCTTTTAAGTGGGAGATAAAGGATGGAGTAGTAGAAGGAGATGAGGCCTAATTATTCTCCATCAGTCATTCTCATGTGCGATTCCCTAAAACAGCAGCATCACCTGGTTACTTATTAGAAATATATATTCTCTGACCCTGTCCCATACCTACTGAAACTCTGTGGGTGGGCATTCTGTTTTAATAAGTCCTTTACGTGATTCTGGTATACACTGAAGTTTGAGAAGGACTGGCCTAGATATTTTAGGTAATTTGCTTTATATTTTCAATTCATTGTCTTTTAAAAAAATAACCCCAAGATAGTCAGCTGTGGGTAGTGGATGCCTGTAGTCACAGTTATTGGGAAGCTGAGGTGCGAGGGTCGCCTGTGCTGGTAGGTTGAGACTGCAGTGAGCCATGATCCTACCACTGCCCTCCAACCTGGGTGATGGAGCAAGACCGTCTCACAAAACCAAAAATAACGTCATGATACGTATACATCTCCATGGAGTAGGGAAGAGAAGCATTTCCCTAGAAGACTGTTTTGAAGAGGACTGAATCTAAATGTGAAAAATAATGGGAAGTGAAGAAAATTAATTGTAATTTAGGATCTCTGACTTTAAAAGACCTGCAGCTTATTTCTGGCTCTCATCTAAACTCTTAAGTGTGTGTTATGTTTTAGACACTGGGGATACAGCAGTGAAGCAATCAGATACATCCCTGCATTCATTGACCTTATTTTTTGGTGGAACTGGGGGCAGACAGTCCCAGTTGGGGCAGACGAGGAGTAAAATACTGTATATGATGTTTAGAAAGACAGTAATACATGTAATAAGGATGAATCAGGACAGTATATAAGTATTGGGATTTGCATTTTGGAGACCAGGAAAGGCTTCTTAAAAAGTGACATAGGGTCACCTGGAAAAAGTAAGAGATCAAGGCATGTTTTATTTATGGAATACTTCTTAATTCCTTAAACAATTTTATTTAAACAATTCTATTTAGGAAAAGCAGGCATTTTGGTAGTTTAGAAGTATTTAAAGTCCAACAGCTGTTTTGAAAAATAGAACTTGGCTTCGGGTTCCCTACCCCATTTCAATAGCAGGCAGCCAAGCTACCCTGTTAACATCTGTGTTATTTGTTGCTTGCTTGTCTTTCTGTACAGTAGAGATGAAATAAAATTGAAAGATGCACATGCCTTTGTTTTGCAGTGAACGGCATTACTGAGGAAGCTGATCCCACCATTTACTCTGGCAAAGTAATTCGCCCCCTGAGGAGTGTTGATCCAACACAGACTGAGTACCAAGGAATGATTGAGATTGTGGAGGAGGGTAAGGATCATCACTATCAGGCTGTTAGAAATTTGCCATAACTTCAGATGAGCACCTATAAAGTTTTAAAATACCGTGCTCATTGCAGTTGTTTTTAGGTTAAAACTGAATTAAGGAAAAGTGACCTCTCTCATGCTTGCTTATTTTCATACCCTTTGAAAATGAGGTCAGTCTGGATTTAAGTAGTGAAAACATGACTGCTTTGTGAGCACATGACTGATACATGAGCAACTATGAGTTATATTGAGATAGACCTAAGAACAAAATCTGATACCAAAACATTTAATGTTGAGTGTTATGATAATCAAATATTCAGTTCCTTCACTAGTATTTAGATCGGTAACCATTCAGTTCTGTATTTTTGCTTCCTGTAAAAGTTCACTGTTCTGCCCCCCCCCCCGCGCCCCCCCCACCACCAGACTACACATATGTGCATAATCTGTTTCTTAATAGCTAGAGTTCTGTGAGGATCCTATTTCTCGTTTCTAGGTCAGGGTTCCTTTCATTCTCTACTTGTTTTTTCTCCCTGCTATCTTCAAGATTTCCCAGAGTTCAGTGCAACTGTTCCTCCAGCAGTCACCATCAGAAAGACCAACTTTGTGTGATCTGTATGCATAAAATAAATACACGATAGAAATAGGAGAGAACTCTGTAGATGATTAGGATAGCAGAGTTACATGATGGTGGAGTAGATGAGAAGGCTTGAGTATTCCAGCCAAAGATGATGGCTTGGTTTACAAAGAAAATAAAGTCCTTGCATCATCTAAGAGTCAGCGAACATAAAGTGGTGAATAGCAGGTCATTTGGGAGAAGGAAATGAACCTTGATAACCTATTCCTTTACCACATGGGATTCTTAGAATTTCTGTTTTACATAAAACCACTATTCCCCCACCTCTAAATATGAATTTTTAAACAAACGCCATGACAGCACACCCCTGAAAAGGCCATGGGAGTATAGACTACTACTTTAACTCATAATATGGTATCAAATTGCCTTTCCACCTCTTCCTAACATGCTGCTTTTACTTCCTTTTGCATCCCCACTTCCCAGTCCACTCATTCTTCAGCACTGGCTGTGGGATATAGTCCAAAGCAAGGGTTTTGTTTAGGCATCTCTAAGCCTGGGACTAGACAGATTACATTTTCCCACTTGGTAAGCACTAGCTCTTTTATTCAGTAACACAACTGTAACTTATACTAAGACTTTTAAAGTTGGGCAGACATAGATCTGGACACTGTTCTAGCATTATAATCTTGGACAAATAAATCTTTATTAGCTCAGTTTCTTCATCTTTAAAATGGTAATACCTTCAGCCTTAGAAGGTTCTATAAAGTATGAATCAGTATGTGCATCATAAGTGGTAATTATTGATACTGCATGAGGTCAGACCAACTTCCTCTAATCACTGTTCCTCATGACTTGATCTCTTCGGATTATCTCCTCAAAGTTTTTTGGTTGCTGTATTTAAAATAAAAAGTCAGCTGGAGCCGAGAGTAGGGGCTCACACCTGTAATCCCAGCACTTTGGGAAGCCAAGGCAGGCGGATCACCTGAAGGTCAGGAGTTCGAGACCAGCCTGTCCAACATGGTGAAACCCCGTCTCCACCAAAAATACAAAAATTAGCCACGTATGGTGGTGGGTGCCTATAATCCCAGCTACTTCGGAGGCTGAGGCAGGAGAATCCCTTGAACCTGGGAGGCAGAAGTTGCAGTGAGCTGAATCATGCCACTGAACTCTAGCCTGGGCAACAGAGCATGACTCTGTCTCAAAAAAAAAAAAAAAAAATTGGCCAAGTGTGGTGGCTCATACCTGTAAACCCACCACTTTGGGATGCCAAAGGAAGGCAGATCACTTGAGCCCAGGAATTTGAGACCAGCCTGGGCAACGTGGCAAAAACCTGTCTCTACAAAAAATACAAAAATTAGTCATGGTGCGTGCCTGTAGTCCCAGTGACTCAGGAGCTGAGGTGGGAGGCTCACCTGAGCCCAGGAAATCAAGGCTGCAGTGAGCCATGATCGCCACTGCACTCCAGTCTGGGCGGCAGAGCGAGTACATTTGCCTGGATGCTGAATTGTTAGGCAGCTGAATTCTTTGGCATAGTTTTTATCTGTAGCCTGCACTGGGCTCCAGGCAACTTTATACTGTAGGGCAGGGCTCAGCATACATGGTGGCCTTTTTTGTGATCACAGCCACAACCATCTGTTTACATACTGTTTTTCGTTGCTTTCTCACTACAACAACAGAGTTGGTTAGACAGGATGACTTGCAAACCTAAAACATATACTATCTGGCCCTTTAGGAAAATGGTTTTTGATCTCTGATCTGGAAAAAGGAACCTATGAGGGAACCAGAATTGGAACAAAAAAAAGGAGATGGGGTGTCAGGTTTATCTAAATTGTTTTTGCCTATGCCTGCCTAATTGTTTACTGGCCGATTGAGTATGGGACAAAAATATTTTTGGCTGGTTGGCTCATATTGTGAACTTGAGAAGAAGATAGTCCTGTGAATATTATTAGCAACCCATAGTGCTTAAAATTTAGGTAATGGGATTGTAAATGACAGTTTTTTGTTTTTTTGTGTTTTTTTTTAATTTATAAATGCAGTTTAAAATTGTTCATCAGCTAATAAAGTACTGATGAGCTGTGACATTCTCATTTGGTTCCATGGTAGTATTTAACATTTGGAATTTCATTTAAGCTTTAAGGTGAAACTTCTGAGTACTAAAAATAGATATATATATATATTTTAGGTAACATAACACATTTTTAGCAACTATATAAACTTTCTAGGATCATCAGCAGAGGACTGTTGTGAAATACTAACTTTTAAACTTTGTACCTGTTTTACAGGCGATATGAAAGGTGAGGTCTATCCATTTGGCATCGTTGGGATGGCCAACAAAGGGGATTGCCTGCAGAAAGGGGAGAGCGTCAAGTTCCAATTGTGTGTCCTGGGCCAAAATGCACAAACTATGGCTTACAACATCACACCCCTGCGTAGGGCCACAGTGGAATGTGTGAAAGATCAGGTAAATGCCAGCATCTCTGTATCTGAATTTGATCCTTCTATGAGTTGGTAACCAGAACCTTCAAATTTTTTCAGCCAAGGGGAAATCATCAACATTCATTCGTTTTTGTATTTCTACTTTACCTTTTTTCAGTCATTTGAGGTAGCTTAATAAAAACAGAAAACTACACAAAGAAAAAAGTGACTATATTAGCAATGAGAAAGTAAGATTGATATTGGTAACTAACATTACGCAATGGGGAAAATAAGTTTGGGGTGAGATTTCCAGAATAGAAGGACTGTATGGTTTTGTACACTTTTGCTTAGAGCTTCTTTTGCATATCACACAGACACAGAAACCATGTTCGAAAGTACTTAAAAAATAAGCTTAGGGCAAACAAACTTAGTCTTACTACTGAGATCTCAGGGAAATCTGAGTCCTCATAATGTTTTTCGTCATCAGTACAGAGAATAACAACATTTTGTATGGCTGCTTCATATACTGCTATAACCCAGCTTAATTCTAGAGGGGATCCAAACAATATGTATGTTGAAGTAACAACTTCCTGATGAGTTTGCTTAAATCAAAAAGCTTAGTTCATAATGTATGAAGGAACAAGGCAACTTTTATTTGTTTGGTTCAAGTTTGTGATATAGTGAATGGCACTTTCAAAGATACATTTCTTCCCTGACAGGTTTTGCCACAGGCAGCTGGACTGGAGTATCAACATTAATATCATGTTTTATACATCCTTTTATATAGGGGCAGGCATTGTGCTTCACTCAGAGTGAGGTGTGGCATGTCCTCTCTTTTTTACCTACTTTTTTTTTTTTTCCAGTTTGGCTTCATTAACTATGAAGTAGGAGATAGCAAGAAGCTCTTTTTCCATGTGAAAGAAGTTCAGGATGGCATTGAGCTACAGGCAGGAGATGAGGTGGAGTTCTCAGTGATTCTTAATCAGCGCACTGGCAAGTGCAGCGCCTGTAATGTTTGGCGAGTCTGGTGAGTTGTTGTTGTGGTTTGATTAGTAACTACCCTGGAGTGTCTCAACTTCTGTAGTCTCTGTTTTATCACATTTCTTTACTTTTCTGTGCCTTGTTTTTTCCCCTTTTGCCACTTTTTATTTACTTCCTACTTCTAGTCTAATACAAAAAGATTGTGTAGTATATGTTTTTTAAAATTTTTGCCAAATTCCTTTCCTTCCATTAAGTCATTTCTAGGTTATATGCTACTTAAAATTCTAATACTTTAGTCATCCTGATTCATAATGCCGCTTTGCTTCTCTGCCGCCCAGAGACACAGTCTCACAGTCTGACTCTGTTACCCAGGCTGTAGTGCAGTGGCGCTATCACAACTCATTGCAGCCTCAACACCCTGGGCCTAAGCAATTCTCCCACATCAGCTTCCTGAGTAGCTGGGACTACAAGCATGCGCCACCACACCCAGCCACTTTTATTTTTTGTGGAGACATGGTCCCACTATTTTGCCCAGGCTGGTCTCAAACTTCTGGGCTCAAGTGTTCCTCCTGCCCTGTCCTCTCAAAGCACTAGGATTACAGGTGTTAGCTACCACATCTGCTACCTTGTTTTTTATGCATCTGTGTAACGGGTCATTCTGATTGCATTCAAGTCTAGGGTCTGCAAATGATTCCTTCCATTCCTATTAAGCTGGAACCTTGAGTTGGGGATAGTAATACGTAAACAAACTTGTCTATCTTGTCTTTCTAGCTAGGTAGATGAGGCAAGAGTCCCGTCATTAAAAGTGAGTCATTTGGGCAGTTAGGTGGAAAATACACTCCTTTGCAAGTGCTTGCTGTCTGCCTACCAAGTGTGGTTTCTTCTCGTCTTTTGACTTCATTACAGTGAGGGCCCCAAGGCTGTTGCAGCTCCTCGACCTGATCGGTTGGTCAATCGCTTGAAGAACATCACTCTGGATGATGCCAGTGCTCCTCGCCTAATGGTTCTTCGTCAGCCAAGGGGACCAGATAACTCAATGGTATGAGGGCATACAAGGCTTGGGGGAGGCCAACTGATAGACCTACATATAATATGTGGTCCTATTTAAACTATAGGTCAGGAAATGAAGCAGGGAGACTTGCATATTGCTTATAACTAGTTAGGACTTTCTACACATTGGTTCAGCCCATAACCTAATGGTTGCTTACAGTAAGAAGCACATTTCTTTTCTTGATGCTCTGAAGATAGTTTAGGTAATGGGTCAGGAGGGCTTACTGTGGATTTTCTCCTCTAGAAAAGAATTAGTAGTACATAAGATGATTAAAAATAATGCTTTTGTAGTTTCATTTCGGAATAGTGAATGTACCGTGATTGTTGTGCACTCAAATTATTAACTGCAGGGTTTTTTTTTTCCCCCCCACAGGGGTTTGGTGCAGAAAGAAAGATCCGTCAAGCTGGTGTCATTGACTAACCACATCCACAAAGCACATCATTAATCCGCTATGATCAAGTTGGGGGGAATCTGGTGAAGGGTTCTGAATATCTCCTTCTTCATCCCTCCCGAAATCTGAAATACTTATTCTATTGAGCTATTACACCAGTTTTAACACCTTCCTCGTGTTATGTTTAAAAAAATAAATAAATTTAAGAAAACCATTTTAAAATAATGCACAGTTGCAGCCTGGAAAACTTAAGGTGGCGCCTTATAGTATCAATTTTAGGAGCTTTATTTGGTGCATTTAACGCAACTGGTAATTGCAAAATCCACTTCGCCTGTGTTAAGTGAAAAATATAGACTGTTATCTTGTTGGCCCTATGAAATTCTGCACTTTTCATTATATACTCTACCTTCATTAATTACTTCTGGCAAGATGTTCTGCCTTAGCACTCAGTTGCGTTCTTTTTCTTTTTCTTCCTGTTCATTATGCTTTAATTCTGAGGACCATATGAGGGTAGAATATATTATCTTTTAAAAATTACAAAGATTTGTATAGGCAAACCATTTCTTAAAGTTGATGGCCAAATTTTAAAATGTTATTTTTCATATCATTTATAATCTTGTCACAATCCACTTAAAGAAGTTTGGTTATATTTCAGTGAAAATTATCTTACAGAGTAGGTTTTTTTTCGTGGGTTGGGGGGTAACTTTACTACAATTAGTAAGTATGGTGCAGAATTTCATGCAAATGAGGAGTGCCAGCAGTGTGATAATTTAAACATATTTAAACAAAAACAAAAAAATGAATGCACAAACTTGCTGCTGCTTAGATCACTGCAGCTTCTAGGACCCGGTTTCTTTTACTGATTTAAAAACAAAACAAAAAAATAAAAATAAAAAAGTTGTGCCTGAAATGAATCTTGTTTTTTTAATAAGTAGCCGCCTGGTTACTGTGTCCTGTAAAATACAGACACTTGACCCTTGGTGTAGCTTCTGTTCAACTTTATATCACGGGAATGGATGGGTCTGATTTCTTGGCCCTCTTCTTGAATTGGCCATATACAGGGTCCCTGGCCAGTGGACTGAAGGCTTTGTCTAAGATGACAAGGGTCAGCTCAGGGGATGTGGGGGAGGGCGGTTTTATCTTCCCCCTTGTCGTTTGAGGTTTTGATCTCTGGGTAAAGAGGCCGTTTATCTTTGTAAACACAAAACACTTTTGCTTTCTCCAGTTTTCTGTTAATGGCGAAAGAATGGAAGCGAATAAAGTTTTACTGATTTTTGAGACACTAGCACCTAGCGCTTTCATTATTGAAACGTCCCGTGTGGGAGGGGCGGGTCTGGGTGCGGCCTGCCGCATGACTCCTGGTTCAGAGGCCCACGTGGCCGGGGCGGGGACACAGTCGCCTGGGGCGCCGACTGATTACGTAGCGGGCGGGGCCGGAAGTGCCGCTCCCTGGTGGGGGCTGTTCATGGCGGTTCCGGGGTCTCCAACAATTTTCCCTGCTGTGGTCCTGAATCTGTCCAAAGCAGAGGCAGTGGAGCTTGAGGTAAGTTTCTCGCATGCATAGTGTTTGGCTTTGGGCTGTGGAATGTTCAGGCATTTCACCGATGCCAGAAATCGAGCAGAATCTACCAGCTGGAGACAAAGGCCTTGGGCGGGGGTCCTTCCATTTGGTGCCTACGTGGGGAGATCTTTGGAGACAGAAGGGAGAATGGGAAGGAGTTGCGGCCTGGAGGCTTCCCGCTGGAGCTGAGAAGGCTTCGGGGAGTAATAGGAAGGGGGATTTCCATTGCTTAGGCGAGGGCGGGGCCCGAGGACTGTTGAAAAATAGCCAAGGGTGGGGGTTGCTAGAAAACTGTACTCCAGAAATGTGATGCCGATGTTGGTCCGGTGTTTTTGCGTTCCCGAGTCACTTTAAGAACCAAATGGCAGGTCACGCTAGGGTTTTCATTTCCATTGATTATAGAAAGCTTTAAAGTACTTTAGCTGTGGTGCTCGCCGATTAACCCTGATTACTGGTTTCCAACAGGTTCTTGCTGGTGTGAAATGACTGAGTACAAACTGGTGGTGGTTGGAGCAGGTGGTGTTGGGAAAAGCGCACTGACAATCCAGCTAATCCAGAACCACTTTGTAGATGAATATGATCCCACCATAGAGGTGAGGCCCAGTGGTAGCCCGCTGACCTGACCCTGTCTCTCACTTGTCAGATCATCTTTACTTATATTCTTTATTAAAGGAATAAGAGGAGAGAAAGTAAAAGTTATTTTGGGTACTACATTCAGTTATGCAATAAGCTTAACGTGTTTATAGAGAACAGTTCATTTTTATTAGCTGCTGAAGTTTCTAAAACGTCCAGTTTTTAACAGTTCTGTAAACTTGCAAACTCAGTGTTGAGTTCATTCGTGAGTTTCTTCATATATGACAGCTCTATTATATGAGAAACACAGGCCATAGTAGCGAGACTGTATGGGAGATAATAGGATGGAGATAAAGGATTCAGAGATCTGAGTGTTCTTCAGTATTTATTTATTAGCTAGTTGAAGCAGCTGAGACCAGATGATTGGAGTAGCAAGAACTTGAGATTTTTAGTCTTTATGCCTAGGATTTTGGTCCCTGTTTGCAGTTTGTTTAGTTGTGTGATATTGAGCAAATGAATCTCTCTCAACCTCATTTTCCTCATGTATTATCATAAACTTGTCCTGCCTACCACACAGGGATGTTATGAAAAGTTAATATATTTAAGTTATTTATGAATGGTAAAGTACTATGTAATGGTACTTAGAGATTGTATTGTATTGTGAGGGTTCATGGTACAGATTGTCTTCAGTAAGTGGCATCTAAGGCTCTTTAAATAAAGGGTTTTGCCGGACGCGGTGGCTCACGCCTGTAATCCCAGCACTTTGGGAGGCGGAGGTGGGCAGATCACGACGTCAGGAGTTCAAGACCAGCCTGACCAACATGGAGAAACCTTGTCTCTACTGAAAATACAAAAATTAGCTGGGTGTGGTGGCACGCACCTGTAATCTCAGCTACTCAGGAGGCTGAGGCAGGAGAATCGCTTGAACCGGAGGCAGAGGGTGCAGTGAGCCGAGATCACGCCACAGCCCTTCAGCCTGGGCGACACAGGGAGACTCTTTCTCAAAAAATAAATGAATAAATAAATAGATAAATAAACAAATGGTTTTGTAATTTTGTTCAGTTTAGAAATGCCTAACTTTAGAGATTATTTTAATCAACACCTGGCCTCCCTACCATCTGACTACTAGTGTTTAATTGATGCGAACTAACTAAAAAAATTGGTTGCTAACCCTTGGCAAAATCTTTATTTCCAGCTTAACAGCTTTAATATTTTACGTGAAATGTTTAATATTTTAATTAAATATTTTTAAATGTTTGATTTATTGAGCAATTTACATAAGTAAAATTCATAAATTTTATGTCTAGAACCCAGTGCTTTTTGCGTTTTTATATAGTCATGTAGCTACCACCCAGATAACCGCATAGAGCACTTCCAATATTCCAGAGACTTCTCCAAGTGTGATGACATTAAAATACAAGTAAGGGCCTGTTGCCATAAAACCAAAATGAAAGTTTTTTTTTTATATGATCTATGCCTGTCTGTCTTCCTGAGAAATTAATCATAACTATACCTTGTTTGGAACCTTTAAGAATTTGATTCAGGAATATTTCCCAAAGGTACGTCTGTCATGAGAAAAAAAATATTTAGTGTTATAACCTTCTCTGAAACAAAAGGTATTTGTTTATTTAGTCATAAACACAAATGATGTATATAGGGCCAGGTTATAATTGGTGAAGGTATGTTTAGATTTCTTAAAGTAAAATAAACAGCACAAATAAAATAGTACAGTTCATAGCTTAGTGAAATACACTAGGTACCTAATCTGTAGCCTCCTGGCTGCAGTAGAGTTGTCATTTGAGTTACCGTGTTTTTTTAATCTTTTCTGGGAACAGAGTGACCATCTTTATTTTCTGCAGGCATATAGAATTTGGTGGGTTTTCTTTTACATAGGGTGATATTGGATACTTTTTGTTTGTGATTTTATATTAGCAATTTGAGGGACAAACCAGATAGGCAGAAATGGGCTTGAATAGTTAGAGGCTTATTTGACCTTGACAATAGAATTGCATTCCCTGTGGTTTTTAATAAAAATTGAACCTCCCTCCTTCCCTTACCCTCCACACCCGCAGGATTCTTACAGAAAACAGGTGGTTATAGATGGTGAAACCTGTTTGTTGGACATACTGGATACAGCTGGACAAGAAGAGTACAGTGCCATGAGAGACCAATACATGAGGACAGGCGAAGGCTTCCTCTGTGTATTTGCCATCAATAATAGCAAGTCATTTGCGGATATTAACCTCTACAGGTACTAGGAGCATTGTTTTCTCTGAAAGGATGATCTTTGTGTTCTGAAGCTTTATAGGGAAATGAGGTTAACACACTAGGGAAGATAGAGCTTTTTAATTACAGGAAGAGTTGGTTTTAGGTTGTTTGACATTGAGAATCTAGGGTAATTACTGAAAGTTAATACTGGAATTTATTTTGCATAATATACTGTTACTATAATGTTTGATAATACATAAGTGAAGCTTGCTACTGGGAACAACTCGGAACCAGAGTTGTTGTAATTGGAGATCACAAAGGAATTTCAGAGAGGAAAACATCTCCAAGAAACATCTTTCACTATGTAATGGAAAACATGGGCCAGGCACAGTGGCTCACACCTGGAATGTCAGTGCTCTGGGATGCCAAGGCGGGAGGATCACTTTGAGCCCAGGAGTTGGAGACCAGCTTGGGCAACAGAGCAAGACCCTTTCTCTACAAAAATAAAAATAAAAAAATTAGTCACACATGGTGGCAGCTACTCGGGAGGCAGAGGTTGGAGGATCACGTGAGCTCAGGAGGTCGAGGCATGCTCACTCCACTGCACTGCTGCACTCCAGCCTCATCAACAGAGCAAGATTCTGTCTCCATAAAAAATTAAAAATAAAAAACAAAATGATAGAAAAAAGTAAATAGGGAGTACATAAAGATGAAAACAAAGCAAAGGAACATAAAGATAGACTTTGTCCATAGAACGATAAAGTTTCAAAGCTAGATTGGACCATAAAAATTCTAGTACAATATTCTTATTTTGCAGAATCAGAAAGAGTTCAGAAGGTGGTTTGTTAGGTTTTGGAGTCAGGATTGTTATTAGTAGCAGAGCCGGGACCAAAAACCCAAAGCTCCTTTTTCTTAGCACAGTGTTCTTAAACAGAGTAATATAATGGTTAAGAATAGGAATTCTACCTGGATTGAAACCTAGCTCTATTTAAATAATAATACCTACCTCATAGAGTTGTTGTGAAGATTACAGTTTTAATAAATATGCAAATCACTCAGAATAGTGCCTGACACACAGTAAATGCAACTTAAGTGTTCTGCCTAAAGACTTGAGTCTTGGCTTATTTCCTGTCCATGTGAAGATGTCTGCTCTCAAAAGCAGATTGGTCCAAAACTGAATTCAAGTGTTCTTTTCCTAACCTGTTGTACTTCCCATTTTTATTGTCTAAAAGTAATAGCAGTACTTAATAAAATGCCCACACTTGGTGGCATGCATCTAATAAATGTTTGTTGAATTTCTAGAAGTCATTTCTTTCTTATAAGAAATTTGTTCATTTTTCTGTATGCCTTACCTCAAACCAAAGAGTATTTAAAACATCTTATGAAAATGCATATAGTAGAGCAAGATAAAATTAATGAAAAATAGGCTTAAGTGAGACCAAAAAAATAAGGGTTAGGAAATAAAACAAATTTAGGAATGAGCATATTATGTGATTGTGCATGAAGCTCCAATGACTTTCTAAAGGTGGACTACAATTTGGTCACTGTTGTGAAAAGGAAAGTAGCCAACTGAAAGATTCAGTATCTGTATGCTGAAAGCAGTTAAGTTGCTCAGAAGAAGCAGAATTATATTGCTACTAGAAGGAAATTTTCCCATGGATCCTCAAAGAGGCTTGTTTAATGTAAAAATCACTAGTAACCTAACAGTGACATGGTCCAGGTGCTTTAGGCTGTCTTATCCCTTAATGTAGGCTACTGCCATCAAGCATAGTTTTGCAAACAGCCAATAGAGTGTAGTTCAGATCCATGATCTTGTGGGTAATCCAGGGGTAGAGTCTAGAACAGTACTGTGCAGTATGTAGTTATTTACAGTTAATTAAGATTAAATAAAATTTAAAAATTAGTTCCTTGACCACCAAATGCTCAATAGCTACTAGTGGCTA